GCGATTTTTGTATTCCGGTCGTCGTTTTTCGTCCATGCTACTGCGTGGTGATTGGCGCCAATGATCTACTTCGGTGACGGAAAGACGCTTGACATGCTGATTCTGGAACTTGAGTTCCACGGCAGAGGACTGAGTACCCGAAATTCGAGAGGAGGGAGTTCGGGGGATATTGTTCTGCGTTTGAGACGACTGTGACTGGTCGTGTGCTGCCTTTGGCTTCTCATTCACATTCGGAGGAGGCAGTGGTTTTTCGGTGGATTGTGATTGACGTTCGACGTTTGGTACTGGTTGATGTGGTTTCGAGTGGGAGGATTCTGATGGCCGGCGGAGTGGAAGCCATTCAACCATTCGTAAAGATAAAGTGTCGAATAGGTTCTGTGTGAAAGATTTAGGATCCTTAAGTGGCTGCTCCGCGGCGTAGTCAAAATCCTGAGAATCATAGGTGTTTTGATACCCGACAGAAGAAGACGCTCGACCCGAAGATTGACCAGCATCCTTCGAGCTCTGGCTTCTGCGTCTGTAAGATTCATTTAAGTCGATTGAATTATCATCGTCGTTATCGCATTTGGCAGCTGTGGCGGAATTGGCCTGCTCTTCTGTAATAGCAGCAGCAGCCTGCGCTTGGAAAGCCCGGGATCTTTGTAAAGAGATTCGGTGATAATCACGGAGCGTCAATTCGGGTGATAGCTTCGGGGCGTTGCGACACAGTCCACTTTCAGCGTCGTCCAAGCTTGCGAGATAACACGCCAGGGTTCGCGCGCTGAGTTCGGTGTATCGACGGTAGGGTCCTTCGCTGACACGGCGGCGGCGGCTGGCACAGGTCGGGGTACTGCATCCTGGATCGTCACATCCATATAATAATTGGTTTTTGTACCTAAGGACGAAAATGTATGAGTGCTGGAACAAGCTGAGGACCCTCGTCGCTCTCGGCGGGCGGCGCTAATACTCACCTGCGTACTAACACGTTGTAACTCCGTCGACGTTCATCCCTGTACCATGGAAGAACCCGCGAGGAGTCGGAAATCTCGATCGTGTTCTGGATGATCACCTCAGGCGCATTGGGTGGGACCTTAGATCGACAAGACTGATGCTTCTCGCCGCTATGCTGTACTTTATCCGGAGATTCGAGGGAAGCTCCGCGGAGCCTGGTCATTGTCGTGAATCCTGTCGCATACCCTGGGCAAATCGAAATGAGGGCAAGAGAAACAGCGCTTCGAGGAACCGAGAATGATAATGATTGCAGCCCCAGATATGTGTTGCAGTAGAGAAGCCCAGCTCACCTGATATCATCGGGGCGACCGGGGTAACTGCCTGAGGCAAACAACGCCGGCCAGACTGTTGTTGCGGCCTCACGTGATGCTGTGTCCGACGCCAGTCCTTTCTGGGACTAGCGTGTGGAAATGAGGCAGTTCCAGTTGTGCGGCGATAAGAGGACGATGCTTGCAAATCATTGAAAGACCCCTCGGATATTTTCGCCACAATATTGGCACTTTACACACTTATTTCTCACTATTTTTCACAAATACCCAGGTCTACAAGGCCACCGCATTCTAAAGTCATTTTTCTTTTTTTTTATTATAAAAAAAGTACGGGGTCAAGAAGTGTCAACGTGACTCACGACAGAACTTTCATCATACCCCGCTTGCGATAAAAAACTGTCCCACACTCACTTTTTTATCACCCAAGACTACCCAACTTACCACCTTCAACGATATTTGACGATTCCACGAGCACCATGTCGTCAACTACACAACAGACCCCTGCATACACTTGCAATACCTGCCTCGTTGCTTTCCACCGCAGCGATGCGCAGAGGGATCATATGCGCAAGGATTGGCAGTAAGTATTGTGCCAGCCCTGGTGTCACTCCCAAAACATCGCTGACCGTCCCTTTTTTTCTATAGTTTGTACAACATGAAGCGTCGCATTGCTGCATTGCCCCCAGTCTCCCTCGAAACTTTCAACGAAAAGGTCCTTGCCGCCCAAGCCACTTCCACTGAGGCCGCCGCCAAGGCTTCATACGAGAAGACTTGTGATCCCTGCCAGAAGGCTTTCTACAGCGAGAACTCCTACCAGAACCACATCAAGAGCTCAAAGCACAAGCAGCGCGAAGCCCGCCTGCGCAAGGACGGTGACGATGCCTCCGTCATGAGTTCCGCCTTCTCTCTCGGAGAGCCCATCAACAAGACCGGAGAGAGCGATGTTCACAAGGTCACCGACGACCTGAAGTCCGCCACTATCCAAGAAGATAACGAGGATGAAGAGATGGCCACTGAACAATCTGACTTCTCCCCTTCGCGCTGTCTCTTCTGCCGCGCCGAATCCGACGACATCCAGGCCAATGTCGAACACATGTACAAGAACCACGGCATGTTCGTGCCCGAGCGCGAGTATCTGGTCAACTTGGAGGGTCTGGTCCACTATCTCTACCGCAAAATCAACGAGAACTTCGAGTGCATCTACTGCCACGCCATTCGCAACAACGCCGACGGTGCCAGGACCCACATGCGTGATAAGGGTCACTGCATGATCGCCTTCGAGTCCGAGGAGGAGCAGGTCGAGATCGGTCAATACTACGATTTCCGCAGCACTTACTCTGACCACGAGGAGGACGAGGACGAGACTATGGCCGAGGAGGGTGGTGTCAAGATCCGCTCCGATGGCGATGACGAGGGCTGGGAAACCGACGCCTCTTCCGTGGATGAAGATGAGTTTGATTCTCGCCGCAAGGCACCCGCCGCCTGGTCCGACGAGACCGAACTCCACCTTCCCTCCGGCAAGAGTGTCGGTCACCGTTCGCTGGCCAAGTACTACCGCCAAAACCTGCACAGCTACCTATCTGCCGAAGAACGACAAGAGCGCCGTCTGGCTATCGAGAACGGCGAGATCGAAGAGGACGACGAGAAGCCCCGCGCCCGCAATCAGAACCGCGCTCTCATCTCTCGCGCCAACGGTGGCACGGGTATGATCGGTGCCACTGAAGTCCAGAAGCAGGCTGCTCTGACGGCCGAGCGCCGCGAGCGAACCAACACCCAACGCCAGCAGAACCGCATGCTGGCCCGCGTCCAGAAGGCCGGCAACAGCCAGAAGCATTTCCGCGATCCTCTTTTGCAGTGATTGCGTCGCTCTCGCTGGTTCTCTGCCAATACACCGGCATTATCTCACAGCCCGGTTGATTTGGATTTGGGATGTATTCAGGAAATATGGCGTTTCTCATCAACCTGATCTACCTCGGCGATGCTATCACTCAATCTCTGTTTCGAACTTTCTGAAATGAGTGGGTAGCTTCGTCCGTTGCTGTCGATTCGACTCCCGACATCAGGACTTCGAAGCAAGTCTGCTTCCAGAATACTATCCACAGCAGGGGCACTCCTTTACCCGTTCCATGTCATTTCCCAACATGGCCTTCGGCCTAGCTGGTTTCTATGAGGCCCCTCTGCTTCGCTGCCGATTGACGCGTTGAACAACTAGACGTCGTTTTGTAGGTGCCTGAACGGTGAACCGACAACGACTACATGCTAGCATATGCGAGAATATTTGTGCATTCGGGGGCGTTTCATGACTAGATGATTTTTCACTCCGACTAAAAATGAATTTCATTGCGTATCTCTATTTCATCCTTTGCTTGTAGAGTTATGTACCCCTACTCAACTTAATAGTCCGTAAAGAAATCAGTTCATAATGGAAAAGATAATGTGATGATAATGATATTGAGGCTCCCATGCTCGCTCAAAATGACATTTCCTTCTGTATTTACAAATTCCCTTCCGTTGAACCCGACCAACACGTAACAGTATCATCCATCACCCTTCTTACAAAACAAAAACATCCTTGTCTCTTCGACACCAACCACACTAACTGAAGCGTCGAGTGCTTCCAAGTCCGATTGCGTCGCTAATCTCAACACAATCCCCAACCCTACCCTGGGAACCTATCCTCTGACGTATGCATGGTAATTGATTCTAATCTAACAGAGAGAGAATTTCCCTCAAATCAATGGGGTTGTGCGAGACCTGCTCCGCAACAAATCGCCCCGAATTTTTTTTTCTTTCTTTTTATTTTGCCTGTTGTCCTTGCGAGTCGGAGCATGTTTTCGTTTTGCTGCACACGCGTTGTCAAGTTCTGTTTTTTTTTTTCTTCTTTTCTTCGTCGGTTCATTTTTGGATTCAATCATCACCACCGAGCGTGCCAAGCAATTGGACAGGACTCTCAGCTGTACCGCTGGGGGAACGAGGGGGGAGTATTCAAGAAGCTTTTGCATGGTAGTTGGCAAAGAGTTCTAGCTGTTGTAGACATTGGATCCATTGAAGGCGGACACTGGGCGATGTGGAAATCTGAAGGGGGTTCGCGCTATTCGTCTGAAGGAAATCGGGAAAAGCTCAATTGTTCGGGCATCAAGTTGAATAAATGCCATCCTGGTGGCTATGGATCGGTAGATTGCGGAGAGGCATTTCGCACTTAACCTCGGCGAGGCCAGTCGCCGCCCAAAGGTAATATCTCGCAGTTCGAAGGTGCCAGACGTGGTCATGAAGATGGAAGCGACACAGGTTCATCCCAGTAGAGATGGCACGATGGCATTTGGGAATGTATGCTGCGCTTGACCTCAGAGAGACCCAGTGGGGTTTCAGGGGGGGCAAATTTCGCGATGACTTTTTGGATGTGGGGGTTGCAAGACGTGACCCTGGAAATGATACATGTCATATTGAGAAGCGGACGTGCTTGGATTCCAAGGTTCTGCTCTCGATTGGTGGTGAGAAGGGCAATATCGCGTCCCGCAGGTTTGTAAGGAGAATTTTGTTGCTGCACAGTAATCGGTACAGTACAAATGAGTATTTTAGAATTGGATTGTTTGATTCAACAATGGAGGCTGAATGACCATTGGATGACCTTCGTAGGGAATTATTGATGATGGGCTTCGTGTTGATAAAAAGGAACAACATATTAATCGCTGCTTGTGGCTTGCCTTGAAGCCTTTAGCTTTTATGGGACACAAACTGTCATTATTGCAGAAGGGGTTGGTTTTCAGAAGAGCCGGCCTTCTTGGACTTAGGTTTTCCATGCTTTCGGCGACGGCGCTTTTTGGAGTGTGGATGCTGGGCACCCTGAGAATCAGTAGTGGCATGTTGGCGATTTGGCGACGAGTCACGAGTATCATGTGGGGAGTTTTGACCTTCGGAGGAAGAACCTGATCCGTTTGTGTGTAGGACAACTTTTCGGATGCCATTGACATCCACAATCTGTTCAGTGATACTACCGCTTCGAGTTGGTCCACGGTGGTGATAGATCAATTCGGTGTGAGATTCGGTGGACCGGACGCTACCAGTGCCGCTGCTGTTTTGGCGGGTTGAGGCAGAGCGGGTTTGATCCTCGCGCTCTTCGCGGACAGACTCTGGAATGGAGACCTGGGGAAGATCCTTGAATTGCTGCGCATTCGTAGATTTTGTGACACTTTCTTGTGGGGAAATTGTGCCGTAACCAAGTTTCAACGCATGCGCGCCGTCCTTAGCATCGACGCCTGAGCCCACAAGGCCAGCCCCGATGCCACCTTGATACGCCGGTGAGTTTATCTGAAGATGGGACTCATTCAGGCTGCGCCCGGAGTCAAGATCTGTTTGTGCGGAGCGAGAGGGAGACTCGCCGCTGCGCTTGATTTTGACGTTATGGTATCGAGTCTGTCGCGGACGGCTCGCCAAATTGGAAGGCCCAAGATGTTTGAGATGTTCCCGGATCTCGTCAGTCGCACCTCTCTGTGTAAACCATAGATCAGATTGCTTGTTGTTGTTGTTACTGTCCCCATTGGGGCGACGAAGTTGGAATCGGGGTGGAGGGGGCTCGACAGAACTGCGACGGCGTGGAATATCAGGCTTGGGAGCTGAGGAAGACATGCCATCCATATCAATCAGTTCGCCTTCTGCAAGAGGGGTCGCCATGGGTGGTTCCTCGACGATCTGGCCCTTGGGAACACGAGATTTGGGAGCAGGAGCCATTCGACGAATCGCCTTGTGAACATCAATGAATACATCGGATTCATCGATGATTTCTCTGTATTCAATGTTAGTGTACTTGAATCACCAAAAATGTAAAGAATGGGTATGTCATACTCTCCAATAAGCTCTTCAATCACATCTTCAAGAGTGACAACACCAAGTGCGCCACGGTCTTCGCTGGGGTATGAGGAAACGAGGACCATATGTGATTTTCCTTCTTGGAAGAAGTTGACAATATCCAGACAGCTTGTCTCTGGTCTTGTCTCGGGAAGGGTGGCCAAAGCAAAGTCGCGAACTCGCTTGGCATCTTCAGGGTCATAAGTAATGAGCATTTTCACCAACAGCATACCGACAAAATTCATGGGGTTGTCGGGAGCATGGATTGGAATGCGAGAGTATCCTTGTGATAGAATGAGGTCCATGGTTCGTTCGTCCAGGACAGTATCGGCAGACATGGTAAAGACGTCTTCCATTGGGGTCATAATGGTGCCGACGGATTTTTCTTTGAGGTCGAGGACAGCACTAATGATGGTGACTTCATCGGAGTTCAATTGCTCTCCAGCTTCACCAAGCGTCCTGTGTAGAGTGACGAGGGTCTTGAGACCGGCCTTTTTGTAAATGGTGCCATGATCCTCACCAAGAAGCTTGTCGAGCAGTTTTGCGACCGGCCAGGCGACCGGGGACATGATGTACATAAGAATCAGAACACATGGAGCCATCCAAGCTCCGATGGGGAGGCCGTAGCGGACGCAGATTGATTGAGGAACGACTTCGCCAAAGATGACGATCAGTGCTGTACTGCCTAGAACGGCCGGCCATCCACCTCCGAGGGTTCTGTCGAGTACGATCGGCAATGTTTCATTTGTGATGACATTGCTGAGCAATAAAGTCACGAGCACCCAGTGTTTGCCCCGTTTTAGAAGGTTCAAAACGCTCGCAGCATTTTTCTTTTCGGATTCCTCACCGGACGTTTTGATCACTTGAAGGTACACTTCATCCTGCCCCATTAGGGCAATTGTCAGACCCGCAAATGCCCCGCCACTGAGAACGAGGGCAGCGGATATTCCAAGGTACAGCCATAGGCTTGGATCGGTTGGTTCTTTCGGAGGATCCGATTCAGAGGAGGAGAGAAGGTAGGTCGAGAGAGCCGGGGGCGCCGGCGGCGAGGGGAAGTTGAGAACAGGTGAGGACGATCAGTCTGGCCAGACCCAAGACCATGGGCCTTGCAGCAAGTGTGCGCGTTGCCGGTGAAGTCATCGCCGGGGGAGCGAATGGTGAAATCCAAGAGACAAGACAGAATAATGTAGGATAAGAGGACACCACGAGTAGGATCAACACGGGCGGGAAATGACGGGGAGGGATGGATGTTACAACAGCGAGGTGAGCATCGCCGAGGAAGAGGTCGAGAATAGGGCCGGGAGAGAGGGGCCGAACGAAGGGAAGAGAGATTCGGAAGGAGTGAAGTGGGCGACGGAGCGAGGAAATCGGAGGGAGATGGTTGAAATCGGCTGTTGCGTTCGTGATCGATTGGGTTGGAGGAACTAGAGTGGAATTGGCTTTGGCTTTGGCTTTGGTGGACACCTGACACCTGACACCTGATATCTGAGGCAGACACTCTCCACATGGCTTGGCATTGGGCACGGACACAGACCTGGACCGGGAAACGGGAACGGGAGCAGGAACAGGCACTTCCATATACTCCACCTCCACCTCCACCTCCACCTCAGAAGGGAATAGACTCCCAGGATGATAATTTGAGTGCTTCTATGTATTGTTTCCATAGCTCTGCGGTCGAGTCGCGAGTCTCGGTCCACATTTCATGGCCTATCAGATGCCGGAATCTCTCCGTATCGTCTGCTGCTTTGGCGAGGTCACTCAGCTGTCCGTCCATCGCGTCGACACACTTGCGCATCTGATCACAAAGAGCCTGGAAACACTCGACTTCACCTGACCGTTGGGTGAGAAGCTCTGCGGTGGAATTATACGTTGTCCGCTAATGCGGAGATCACCCTCCAGTCCTGCAATTCGCCTCTGCCGCTTGTCGAGTTCACTCTTCAATGATTGGGCTTCATCATATTTCTCGGCGAACACTTTCTCCTTTGTTTCCATCTTCTGCTCGCACTCGCCGAGTTCCATTTGGAAATTTAAATCCGCCGCTTGTTTCGCGCGGTTGGCCTGGGAAGATTCCGCTATCAACAACTTGGACTTGAGATCGGCTATCTCGTTTTGTTGGCTCTCTGCATTACACTCCGCGGCATGGATGAATTCCTCAAGCTGCGCGTGGTACCCTTTGGCCAACCGAAGTTCCTGTTCCCGGATTCCTCGCGCCGAAACGGCCGCGTCCCTCTCCGCAGTCAACTGCGACTTGCAGGTCTCCCAATCCTATACTTCACTTCCGGCGCAGGCGCGGGACCAGGCGCGGGCGCTGGGCCATTTTCATCTGCTCTTGCTGCGCTTCTTCCGCCATTTTCAACTTGTTCGCCGCCACCGTTTGGGCGAGGGTCAGCGGTTGGGCCTGTTGACGGGGGCCTCCTTGGTGATCGGTTTCTGTGGACTGGGACGCAGATGTGCTGGGCATGGTCGGATTGGCCCCTGATTCATTTACCACCTCCTTCTTCTGCTTCAGTTCGGCGACCGAGTCCGGGAGTTCGTCGTCCACGGAATCGTCCTCCACAGAATCGTCCTCCACAGAATCGTCCTCCACAGAATCGTCGTATAAGGAGCCGGGCTCATTGCTGGGGACTTCGTCATGCACAGAATCGTCGTTGAACAAGGAGCTGAGCTTGTCGCCCAAATCTGCCTTATCATCGCGTCGGGTTGATCGATGTAGCTCGCCTTGCAGTTGTCCTCCCGCATCATCATCCTCCGAAAGTTCCGCCTCTGTCATCCCCTTCGTCGCTTTGAGATTGGCGTTCTCCTCGAGATCGCCCATCCGAGCCTGCGGGTGGCCGACCATGGACTGAAGCATCTTCCCATCCTTATGTGACTTAGCCGGCCGGGTGTTTCCCCGACCAGTATTCAAGACCATCACCTGAGGATGGAAGACTTGTGATTTCAGTGAGTCTCTCTTGGTTTGGGACCGAGCAATTTTGCCCTTGAGCATGGCGTTCTCGATAACCAACCGAGAATCTTTGGCCCGGAATCGCTCGATCTTGGACCGAAGCTTCTTCTCACGCCGCTCAGAGTCCCTCAGCACAGAAATAAGGCTAGCATGTTCCTTCCTGTGGTCGTCCTTTATCTTCTCCACAGCCTGGGCACCGATGAGATCAGCCCCGGGGTTGCGAATCTGATGAAGTACGGCCGGATGATTGTCAAAGGTGTCTCGCGTCTCCTTGAGCCTGCGCTCGGCATCCTCATTTGCCTCATTGCGGGTCTGGTGGACGATAAGGTCACGGTCGATCTGAGGCTGCTGGTCTCTCCGACGGAGCTTATCATTGGCCTCAGCAAGGGCATTCTTGGCGATGTCCCTTTCTCTCCTCAACGAGGTATTCTGCTGATACCACTTCTTAGTTGTGCTCTTATCCCGCTCGCTCTGCACGTGGAGGAAGGCGTGCTCCCTTGCCTTGAGGTCACGCCGGTATTTGGCCTCGAGCTCTGACTCGAGCTTCTGGATATCGGCTTGTGCGTCAGCCCCCGAAGACTCGAACTCCCGCCGGCAACTCTTGAGCTTCTGCTGGCAACTCTTGAGCTCCTGCTGGCATCTCTTGAGCTCCTGCTGGCATCTCTTGAGCTCCTGCTGGCAACTCTTGTGGTCTTGCTGGTTTTTCTCCAGGTCCTGCTGGCATGTGTTGAGGTTCTGCTGGAACTTCCTGAGCTGCAGCTGGGACTCCACGAAGGCTGTTCGCGCCTCTTTCGTGTTGTGACGCCTGTTTTATTGTCAGAAATTTGGTATTTCTTGAGTACGGGAATATGGTGCAACTTGCCCCTTGCCTTTGACACGGCGAGGCTTTGCGTTGGGAGGGTTGGCGGGGACGAAGAGGATTTATCTCTGCGTTCTTGTCAGTACTTATTATCGCTACAGAATGTAGACGGATACGGAGTTTCTTACGTCTCGTTTTGGATGGGAGATGCACACCGACCAGGTGGACAGTACTCAGTATCAGGTCTCTCTCTGTTCAAATTCGGAACGGGACTGGTGTATCCCGATTGCATCACAAAGACTAAGATAAGCACGCACAAAGTGATGAACGAAGAAGAAAAGACAGCTTGCATCGCGAGCTGCACCAGGTTCACGAGGCTCTCAAGGATAGCGGAAATGTGGGATAGGGTGAGACGAATAACCTCCTTGAGATGACAGAGGCAGGCAAGCAGGACTTTGAAAGTGCCGAAAGATACCAGATGAACTTTTTCTATGGCCTCGCGATAGCAGACAAGTAGGGCGTGGACAAAAACGAAGAGAACAGAGACCCTCTTGTGATTGTGAAGAGAAAAAGGGATGTCGAGAATGTAGAAAATTTGGAACAAGGTCAAATGCCTCATGAACAAAAAGTCGTTGAGGTTGTCGAGTGAGGGCCCACGCACCGCGAGCAAAACCAGGCTCATATCTTCGGCAACGCCGCCAGTGAAGGACAAAAGGACTTTGAGCATATCGAGCAAGATTGGGCAGGCGTTGCTTATGAGACTCGAAGAAGGTGATTGGAAGATTTTTTCCCAAACAAAGACCATACACATGACAGAGAGGAGAAGATAAAGAATGTAGGGAACCTGGAAGATTGAAGGGCTTCTGCGCATAAGATGGTTGAGATTATTGAGCGGGTATGGTAGCACTGCGAGCAAAACCAGGCTCGTATTATTGGCAACCCCGCCAGTGAAGGACAAAAGAAACTGGAGCATATTGAAAATGGTTGTGCAGATGCTGACAATGAAGCTCGAAATGAGCAGTTGGAAGGTAGTGAACCAGTTGAAAGCCATCTTTGGAGGATACAGGGTAGAACGAAGAATTGAGGTGAGAAGAGGAGAGGAAGAGAAGTGAACTGGGTGAGGGCGGGTGTTATAAGCCTGGGAGCGAGGTCGTGCCTTCCCAATCGTCAGAACCATTCACTTTTGTTGCCGTTGCCTACTTTGCTGAACCACTATGGTTACCACAGTGAATCTTACCTTAATGCTTCGTTGGTCCCACTAGTGACTCAAATGCTCATACGTAGATTCTGGTACACTCAGGCTCACTCGATTTTCTCCCCGAAAAGCTGTAGAGAAAACCAATCGTACTAGTACACACTGCTACCTGCATCTGGTCGAACCGAAAACTCTCAACTAGCCAGAAAGGGGAGAACTAGAATATCCCTTAATAATTGTGACCACGCAGACATGGCATCTCTAGTTTGAACTCGAGAGTTGCCCAGAAATCCCATGGTATTTCCTCTTTTGTTCTATTTATTCCACAGTCAAAAGTAACTGGAGTGTTTGGACATACTACTCCATGGATCGATTAAGCTTTTTGTGGTCCGTGTGTCCATGTGGACCCTATTTTAAGGTATGAACAAGAACCTTATCTCGATATGTAACACGATATATGGCTGAGACTTTTTGCATTTAAATTTGATAAAACATTGAGTGGAATTTCGGTCAGTAATAAATCATTTTATCACCTAATTATTCCTTCCAGGCTTTTGTCTTACACTCCATACTCGGGGTATTCCGTGACTCAGATAGCATAATAATGAACTTGAATTGTGGCTTCTTTGTCTTCCTTTAAACTACATTCCGTTCCAAAAGTTCTTCCCCACCCAACTTATCTACACCAAAACCTAATAATTTCAACACTATGAAAATTAATAATTTTGTATGATAACTAATTTTTTAAAAAATAATTTTCTATAGAGAATTACTTAAGCTCTATTTTCTATGTAGATATCTTATCTGTATCTATTTTATCTAGAGAGTAGTCTTCTACTAAAGTTTACTACTATAGAAGACCAGATAAAAATCTAGGTTAGATTATAGGAAAAACCTAATCTTTAACTTTAGTAGAAGACTACTCTCTAGATAAAATAGATACAGATAAGATATCTACATAGAAAATAGAGCTTAAGTAATTCTCTATAGAAAATTATTTTTTAAAAAATTAGTTATCATACAAAATTATTAATTTTCATAGTGTTGAAATTATTAGGTTTTGGTGTAGATAAGTTGGGTGGGAAGAACTTTTGGAACAGGATGTACTTTGGATAGATGTCTAGGTACCAGTCAAAACTTGAAGTTACCTTGAATGCATAAAGATGCCGAATTTCTGCTTAAGTGATATCTCAAGTCTTCGGAATTTCGGATATACTACTCCAGGGCTAGGCAGTAGGGCTTCTGGTACTACTAACCTTGGAACTAACCAGTAGCTACTGGTATGTAGTGGGTAGGATCTTCAAGTTTAGGGGCAAAATGATTCAAATCTATCTCCAACGGCTAGAACTGATTTGGTCTATGATTCAGCTCAGAATTGGCGATTTTTCCCCATCTTCAGAGGGCCGTACGATCACACAATAAGAAGTTGGAGTACTAGTATGGTTCATGTCGGTTGTTGGCGGCAGATCACGAACACCCTTCACGGTACTACCCACTCAGGTGGCTCGGACCCCCAGTCTGACGGTGTTTGGCGAATGACATCCTTGTCCATCTTTTGACTCAAACACTCGATCGCAGCTGTCGCTTCGATTGTATTCAAAAGATTCTCCTCTCGTTGCCACCGCAAGGAACTTCGACAAACGGGGTTCAGTAAGACTCGGACAGAAAAGGTGGTCGTCCGGGTGGCACAACAGCCCTCACGAATATGAATATTCTAGTTCAAGTTACCTATTTACCTAGATACTAGTATATATCATCCATTGATTGAAGTGCAAGGAACTTCCTGCTTTGAAACGGCTGTACGTGGAAAGTTCAAGCGTTACCTAGGTAAAGAGCCCTGGAGTGGTGTCTTGCAAATTTGGAATATCCTGAAAAGACCGCAATTACTACTCACCAATTTCCCCAGTTCTCCGATATCTTTCATCGGATATTACATGCACAGGGGCCTTCTGCAGGATCACTCTCGGCAGGCTAAAGCAAACCTTGGAAGCCGATGGAGCTTGCGAAACATGCGGGAAAAGAACCAAGATGGCAACACGACCCAAGCGCCGATGATGGCTTCCAAGGTTACTACCGACGAGACTGGCGTATGATATTATGATGCTAGTATATACTTCAGGCGTAATTAACTTTAAACTGCATTCGGCTTACGATGGAAAAAGCCATCCAGGGACGGTATACCTAGGTACCGAGCGAGAACTTCTGGTTGATCGAAACTAGTACTGGACGAAACTCAGTCTCACAAACTCCAACGGATGGGAAAGGGAAGGGCCAGGGACGGATTGCGGCCGCAGAGGTACGGAGGGATCTCTATAGGACGACGAATTCCTAGATACCATTACCCAACATTCGGATCCCTGGTCATGCATGCAAAACTCCAAACAGCTGCCGAGTTTTGCAGCAACGTGGGGAGACTGCGCCTCTCAATTTGCTGGAAAGACGGGAGAGACGGGCCCTTGAATTTACAAGATATTCTAGTGATTCAGTCGAAATCCATAGTTGGAAACAAACGTTCTATTCCATTGAGTTTTGGCGGTATACAGTCAGGAAAATGCACCATTTTCAAAGCAACTCGCAACAGCCATGCAGAACAGAGCAGAACAGATTAGAAGCTGATCACTGGCAAAGGCCAACTGCGTTCCGCCCAATATAAGTTGAAAATATCCCACACTTCTATCATGAGAAAATTTATGATGAGTGAAATTCGGCCAATGGCCGTGATGTATGGCTTTTGGCCCATTGTAGAGTTGTTGTGTCGTGAATTAATTCCGAACAAAAATCGTAATGACTCCGCAAAAAAAGAAAAAACTTGCCATGTTTCCCCCAAGACCTTGGATTGTCATACGGCGGGTCATTTTTTTGCTTCGTGCGTCGCTCAATATTCGAGAGTTTGCTTGATAGCGTCATAAATCCCTAGAGAAGCCACACCCATTAGTAAAATTAACAAGGCGGGAGGTGAATGGCGAGCAACTGACTAGCAACGTCTGGCAGGATAAATTGTTCGTATGAGAGTCCGGTATGGGTACTCCAGCCGGCGACCCGCTTGACTGGGGCTTCTAATCGAAGGAAAGCTCCATCTTGAATAGTTGCAGCGACCTCAGCACCGACACCATAGTTGATCATGCTCTCATGCACTACGACAGCTCTTCCTGTTTTCCGGACACTCTCGAGAACAGTTTGTCGATCCCAGGGGTAGATTGTACGCAGATCAATCAGCTCGATATTCACGCCCTTCATATTCTTCTCGATGGCGGAGATGGCTGCCGAACAGAGGTACAATGGTTGACCGTAGGAGATAATGGTGAGGTCGGTACCAGGCTTGATGACTTCAGCCTGACTGAGAGGAATGGTGTAATATTCGTTGGGAACATGTTCGACCGCCGCCCGGTAGAGAATCTTTGGCTCCATGAAAACGACAGGGTCATTGTGCTCGAAGATGGAGGATAGGAGGAGACCTTTGGCTTGCGAAGGAGATCTGGGCATCACTACTCGAACACCTGGAATGTGTGCAAAGAGGGACTCGGGGGACTGGGAATGGTATCTGTTTGGAAAGCTAGTTAGAAAGGCATTCGCACCTACGAGGTGTGAAGAGACATACAGTGCACCATGACCAACTGCACCACATGGCATTCGAATGACAAGCCCTCCCACATTGATTCCAGTGCCACCTTCTCGATATCGAAATTTAGCTGCCTCGTTGACTATTTGGTCAAATGCGGGAAAGACGTAGTCGGCGAACTGAATTTCCGCGACGGGCTTCATGCCCTCGGCAGCCGCACCGATAGCGAATCCGGCAATACCCTGCTCGGTCAATGGGGTGTTAAAGACTCGATCTGCTCCAAATTCCGTCTGTAGATCCATAGAGCACCGGAAGACACCGCCGAAGGCAACATCTTCGCCAAAGAGCATAACCTTATCAGACGTTGATAGTGCCGTTCGTAGAGCCGAGTTGATGGCTTGAAAAAAGTTCAACCGTTTCGTTGTTGCTGCAGCCGGAAAATCCGGGTTGCTGGATAATGATGAAGGAGTGTGGTGAAGAATGGGAGTAGATTTGTAGTCGATAGGCAAGTTGAGCTTTGCGGCTGGCGAGGGAGCTGCCGAGTATGATCTATGAGAAATGCGTGGCAGCAAGCACCGCGATGTACGAGTTAACACCATGTCTGCAAGATTTTGAGGTGATAGAATGAGGGTACAGTTATAGAGGAAGTCGCACCCCTGCGTTGAATTCCCTTATAAAGAGAAGCTGGCGGCCCTTGGAACTTGGAGATTGCGGGGGAGGCCGCGAATAACCGATCGCGGTGCAAACCAGCCAAACAGTTTTTGCGGAGGGCGATGACGGCACCAGCGGGCTTGGCAGCCGACCAGCTTCATCCAGGCGTTCATGGTTGTGTTATTGCTTCTTTGTCGTTGGTAAAGTTGAGATTGGCCAAGGTACTGGCATCAATTGATATCGAAAACGAAATTTAATAGAATCCTCAATCGTGCCATGTATGTTTGTCAATGCTGGAGGGGCAATTCGTCCCACTCTCTGCTGTCGTGATGAACCGTCCCATTCTAGGATAGTGGGGTCAAATCCAGGAGCCGCATAATGCAAAACATCCAGCCAGCTGTTCGGTTGGCAAATATTAATTTAAAAGACGAGATTAGTAACAGTAAATTGCCAATGGAGACTCCCAAGGTACAAGATGTGGGACTACCCTAAAGGTCAATCGCAGATCGACGTGTGTGATTATCAGGGCTTATCAGCCGGTGTCGGCGCCAAGACGCGCCCCCCCGGCCCGCACCAAAAAACCGTCATTTTTTCCGGGTGACTCAACTCTCTCAACTCTCTTCTTCTTCAACTCATCCCCCACATATTATTTTTTTGAGCTTTCCTCTATCACAGCTTCAAATTATTCAAAATGAGCAAAGGAAAGGTACGTTACCTCAATTGCCTCCGCCACGACTGCAATTCGATATTTCCATACTCAGACCGCCACTCCATCCCACTTTGATCCTCCACCTTGCCCGCCTAGTTTCCCGACCCCGAATCCAGATCCACTGACTCATTGCGCGAATAGGTTTGCCTCGCCTACTCTGGTGGTCTCGACACCAGCTGCATCCGTACGAATCTCTCCAAGCTCGATTTATTACCCAATGAAGGATGCTGATACTCAATTCTAGTCAAGTACCTCATCGAGGAGGGCTATGAGGTTGTTTGCTTCAGTAAGTCAGCTATCGCAGAGCGGGATCTAAGTCCAATTCCAAAATGCTAATTCTGATTTTGCAGTGGCCGATGTTGGTCAAGAGGGTATGCATCCGATATCTATTCGACGACTCGCGATCCAGAACTAAACAAGTATTTCAGAGGACTTCGAGGCTGCCCGCACCAAGGCCCTGCAGTGCGGTGCTCTGAAGTGCGAGATTGTCGACATCCGCCGCGAGTTCATTGATGAGCTGTGCTTCCCTGCCATTGCTTGCAACGCCGTCTACGAGAACGTCTACCTGCTCGGTATGCTGCCGCTCATCTTCTCTCCCATCCATTTGCAAAAAAGCATCCACTCACAATGATTATAGGTACCTCGCTCGCTCGCCCCGTGATCGCTCGTGCCCAGATTGAAGTTGCCCAGGTAAGATAAACTGGCCATTTTGGCAGCATACACGACGGTATCTAACTGGGATCCCCAATAGCGCGAGGGCTGCTTCGCCGTTTCCCACGGCTGCACTGGTAAGGGTAACGACCAGGTTCGCTTCGAGCTTGCCTTCTATGCCCTGCAGCCCACCATCAAGGTCATCGCCCCGTGGCGCGACCCCGTCTTCTATGAGCGTTTCGCCGGCCGTAACGATCTCCTTGCCTATGCCGCCGAGAAGGGCATCCCCGTCACCTCTACCAAGTCCAAGCCCTGGAGTATGGATGAGAACCTGGCTCACTGCTCCTACGAGGCCGGTATCCTGGAGGACCCCGATACCACTCCCCCCACTGACATGTGGAAGCTGTCTGCCGACCCCTTGACCGCCCCTGACCAGCCAGAGGACTTCACCGTCCACTTTGAGAAGGGTATCCCCGTCAAGCTCGAGTACACCGAGAAGGGCCAGAAGAAGGCCGTCACTGACTCTGTTGACCTCTTCCTGACTGCCAACGCTATCGCCCGCCGTAACGGTGTTGGCCGTATCGACATTGTCGAGAACCGTTTCATTGGTATCAAGTCTCGTGGCTGCTACGAGACCCCCGGTCTCACCTGCCTGCGCGCTGCTCACATGTTAGTTATCATGGCAACTCAATTGATTTATAGGCTCCTCACTGACATATAATAATAGTGATCTTGAGGGCCTTGTTATGGACCGTGAGGTCCGTGCTCTCCGTGACCAGTTCGTCACCTTCAACTACTCCAAGGTCAGTAAACTTTCCAATTCTTCCAATGCAGCCTTAGCTCACTCTATGACAGCTCCTGTACAACGGCATGTACTTCTCCCCCGAGCGTGAGTTCCTCGAGTCCTCCATCACCGCTTCCCAAAAGTGCGTCAACGGCCAGGTCCGCTGCCGTGCCTACAAGGGAACTGTCTCCGTCCTCGGCCGCTCTTCCGAGACCGAGAAGCTGTACGACATGACCGAGTCCAGCATGGACGAGATTGGTGACTTCTCCCCGCCGAGACCACTGGATTCATCAACGTGTCTGCTATTCGCCTCAAGAAGTACGGCCAGATGAAGGCCGCTGCCGGCGAGAAGATGTAAATATCTTCCTCAAAATCATTGGATTGTCATATGTTGAGCGTCACTGGCTTTCCACAAGGGGACGTATTGGGATATGTTCCATGCCTACCATACCTCGAGACGGATTAGAATGACCCCCATTCCGGATGATTGTATAATGAAATCGAAAAAGTTTCTACACTTATATATGAAATATTGCAATACCCTCTGTTTATGATCTGCTAGATAGCCCCTCTTGGTAACCCAGGTACATGTTATGAGAATTTGTCAACTCCGAGTTCTCCCAGGAAATTTGAAGCTGTTTGCTTCTGAGGCCGGTTCCTGGGGAAGCAGCTTGCGTTGTCACTCGCTGTCGTATACCTACCCACTGCCACTTCCCACTTCCCTCACTTCTCTCACTTCTCTCACTTCCTGCGACTACCACCGGACTTGCCACCAACAAAACACCGCCCTACAAACATTTCCACAGTCTTTCGTCTCATCCCTGTCTGCTTCATCGATTCAATCATCTCTGTCATACCATCTAGGCCTTCCAACGGCCAACACTGCTGCCACCGCCGCCATTCTTACCACGGCCGCAATGCCTCCTATCGGCGACCTCCGTGTAGGGCCGGAGTTCCCTCCGCTCAGTCAGTTTGTTCCCAAGCTCAAAGGCACTGACAACTGGTCGAGTTGGAAGGCGTCCCTCAGTGTTACACTTAATTCGATCCATCCGAAGCTTTTCCAGCTTCTTACTGGGGAATATGCGAAGCCAATCCCTGTCGTCACTACTCCTGCCACCGCTACTACGCCTGAAGTTCTGGCTCAGCCTGATTTTGCTGCTGTCATTGAATGGCATGATTACTCACTCAAACTGATGCCCTGGCTCTATGCTACGACTATGCCAAAACATCATGATGGTCATATCCGCACTGCTGCCAATGCTTTTAGCGCGTTCCAAAGCCTCAAACAGGCATTTGGTAACTCTCGTTCTCTTACCGACCAACAACCTTCTTGTACCGTGGACTCCCCAGAATTCGGACCCTTTTCAAAACTTTTGAGCATTCGTTACTGTGGTACGGACCCCCAAGGATTTCTTGACAGGTGGACTGCCGCACTAGCAGGAGCACAAGAAGCCTCTGGCCCCCTAACTTGCCGCCATATCTATTTTCTCTTTCTGGTTGCTGTTCGGAATGACCTAGATACCTGGGAGTGGAGCAAATCTCTGAAAGCGGACCATGATATGATTTCCGGGCCTTTTCTAGAACTCACCTATGCGAATTTCCTTCGTTCCGAGGCAAGTCGCCTTCTGATCGAGAAAAAGTCCCTTTCTTTCGATAATGAACGCCTGCGTGACGAGAGAATGCGCCTCTGTGACGAGATTAATGACATCCCGCCCCCATCGTACTGATCTCATTTCAAGTTGACGACATGTCTTCTATTCTTAGCATCATGGCTTGTACTCTCCACGCTCTCCATGCTCTCCACGCCATTCATTCTGCTCTCGCACGCATTGATATCCGCCTTGCAAGACTTTATCTCAACCCAGTCAATATGGGCAAGTGGATCGTTACTGCTGCTCTTTTGTATTTCCCGTCAATTTTTATCGTAAACACACACCATCTCTTGACAATGCAAAGGATGGCGACTACACGAATATTTTCCCACCTGTACGATTATTGTACCGGCTTGCATGTTCGTTATCGAGAATACCCTGGGGCGTTCACAACATTCGTTCTGTATCTAGCTGCCGAGGACTGATGAGCTGTTACCTGCTAGATAGGCATCCTTCTCACCTCCTCTGTCTTTAACACCATGCGTATCTCACGTGCCATTCTTCATGTCCTTCTCCTGATATCACAAGTACAGTCTCATCGTTAAATTCTCTAGCAGGGGGTTCCGTTCCAACATGCAACGAATCATGGAGAACTTAGCAAAGATCTGAGATCTTTTCCTAGCAATAAACAGAAACAAAGATTCCGAGGTCGGTAGTGTATTATATGATGAATATCTCGTATTTATATGGTTATATACACTTCTAATGGCTATTTTCCCGCAGCCAAATGATAAATAGCACTTTCTAACAGGCTTTAATGCAATGGCGCTCTATGTTGAATATGGTCGTATGCGGTTCGTTCATCACTTACAAGCTGGCGCTCATCTTTTCACCTTTTACCAACTCTGCGATATAGAAATTAGCTTTCAGCGCGGAACACAAGATTCGGGATTACAAACCGTTCCAGGCATCCAGTGCCACCTTCTCGGCATCCCATCCCCAGAGAAAGTTCTGCGTCTCACGATCATTCCATTTGTCCGGGTTGGATCCGCTCGCCGAGGCCAAGAACTGTTCGTCACGGGCGAGCTGCGCGGGTCCATCGATCAGATGCAATGCGACTCGGTTCTCAGTGCCGGACTGCTGCACAGTCTCTGCGCGGTGTTTTCTGGTTTTCTCGTACACTTCCAAAGCGCTCGGAATCTCATGTCGTGACGTGATATTGGACAATAAGACGCCCAATGCAGCTGCATCTTCGACGGCTTGGGCCGCTCCTTGTGCGACATAAGGCCTGATATAGTTAGCTTCGCTCAATTAAATGAGGTGGCGACAAGCTTTCAACGTACAGCATGGGATGACATGCGTCACCAATCAGCGCGACTGAGCCCCGGATCCAAGTGCGTAGTGGCCGATGAAGACACAGCTTCCATTCGAGGACCTCGTCTTCCACAACCAGGTCGATAAGCTTTCGGACGACTGGATCCCACCCTGCGTAGTGATCGATCATTTCTTGCTTTGAACCCTTCATCGTCCATGACTCCTCAACCTCCTGCCGGTCTGGGTGAAGCAGAACGACATTGTACAACTCATGGCTGCGTACCGGGTAAGCAATTATGTGGCGCGCAGGTCCCAGCCAGCGAGTCGCTTGCGGCTCATCAATAAGCTTCTTCAGCTCTGGATCCTTCTCCATGATGCTGCGGGGTAGCATGATTCGGTATGCCGCATCTCCGGTGGCAATGGCGTTAATGTTTGGGTCTTCCAAAAGGTGGCCACGTAGGGTAGACTTGATGCCATCGGCGCCGATGACAATATCTCCACGAACGACGGTGCCGTCAGCGAGTGTGACGGATGCAGGGCTAAATTCGACGCTCGAGACAAAGCAATTCTCTCGCAATTTAACGTTATCGAGGGCCAATGCTTTCTCGATAAGAGCGTTGTGCAAGTCGGCACGGTGAATAACCACCTGTTGGCCAAAGGTCTTGTTCACAGGCATGGTACCGAGAAGTCTTCCATCCTGCCATCGTCGTACATGGATATGTTCCAAGGCCACATCTTGAGCGTGGATCAAGTCTGAGACACCCCAACCTGAAGGAATGTTAGATGTCTTCAAATGTGAGGGGAAAACGATGGTTCACAAACGGTCAAAAAGACGCAGCATGTTTGGAGAGACTTGGATACCAGCTCCAACCTCCATGAGCTTCATGTTGTCAGCATTTGTCTTCAAATATGGCGAGCTGAAAGGCATACCTTCGGCGCGGCCTCGAGCACTGTGACTCGATGTCCACGCAAGCCCAGCGTCAGGGCTGCGGCCATGCCGCCAATTCCTATAGAGGAATGTCAATCGACTCCTTTGCATAGCTTGTCCGCATATTGATGCGTTATCGGAAAACATACCCGCGCTGTTGATGATTAGCCCATGGTCATGAATTGTAGAAAGAAAAAAAGGAGGCGCTTCTTACCCAACAACGATCACATCCAGAGGCATATATGCCTTTGGGACAGCCATGATGAAGCAATGGCCTGGATAATATACAGAAGCAGACCCGTTATCTCCAATATGTGACAAAGAGAGAAAGTTCCGGGGATGTGAGAATTAAACCCGTGTGGTGGATCTCGACCTCGAACCAGGTGTTGGGGGTGGCTATTTCTGAAAATTATTCCCGAGCTTAGTTGTCCGAAGGTTTGCCGTCCCACCCGTGCCACAGGTACACTACAATTCTCCGGGTAGAGCAGAGGTATCTTTATTTAATACTGGACAACCGGCAATCCTAACCCTTGAGGGTATAGGTGGCTTCCACGATGGGTCATTGGAACGCGACCCTCTTTTTTTCCCCCGCAGATTAAGCACAAATACACAAAATGAGATACCGCGCTCATTTTTTTCTTTCCCAGGCGTGTCTGCCATGTTCGGTCTAGGTCCGGAGCATTTGAAGACGGTAGTTGGCGGCTCCTGCGGGTCTGACGGGTAAATTTTGGCCAAGGCAAGCCGACCGATCATATGAATCTCTTGCAATTGACTACAACGGAACAACTGCAATGAATAATTTCAAATAAATACAGACCTTCCGCAAGGAGTGCAACATTCACCGAATTTCCTTTTTTCATTTCTTGAATTTGTGGCGTGCACTCGGAAACCCAAGACGACGCGGCACTCGCCAGCAAGGGCGATCCGAGTGGATCCTCCGCAGTCATTGGCCCGCAAGTCTTTTATTCTGGGGAGCCAACTTGGCTCATCCGGCTGTTTCACTCTGGAACATCTGCCGAACAGCCGCTTGAATGAGCAGTCAGTTCGAATATTTGGTGGCGCACTGTCCCTATGTCGCTAGTACGGGGATATACAGTAGACCCACGTCTGGCCCTCTTCCCCGACATGATCGATCTTATGATGTAGACCAAGTGCTTCCTTTTCTTGTCATCACGGCATATAATGCAGGATTGGATTGCCGACCTGGTGAATCTACAGAAGCCCGGATGGTCCTGCCAATTGTGGGCTGTTCTGGCGACATCGCCGATCTGAATTGATCAAGACGAATTCAAGAACTTCATTTTAGATACGAGTCAACATTGATCGATGGGGTGACGAGTCTCTGCATTCCATAGCTCAATCATAATAAAACACAAGCCTGGCGGTATGCACCGTTATCCATTCTTCCCTCACCACCTGGGCATCTCCGATTTGTAAACTCGACCCGTCTGCGTAGTGAAGGCAATTAAACCCAACCCGATCATAAAAAAATAGCAAGACGGTATGAAAAGGAGAACGCCATGTTGCGATCTCATCTTTCTGAATGCTGGGGACGCCGTCTTCTGCTGCGCCGTCTCCACACAGCGGTTCGTCTCCACCAGCAGAAGACGGGGATCCTTCCGAGGGCAGCGAGCTCGGCCTGTCTCACTCTGTTTCCGCCAGAATAGTATATGCCCAGGTGGTAGTCTCCCAGACATGCAGTTATCCTCGGAAATAAACCCTTAGAACCGCTCAGATGCGATCTCCAAAGCCCTTTCACAGATTCTCCTTGGCATAATATGTGCTCATGCGGTACTGAGACTCGCCGTCATATTGGGAAAGATCCTGCAACGCTTGTCTGCCCTCTCTCTCAATTGCTGCACGAATTTCCGGACTCCGAGGCGTGATCCGACATTCGAAAGGGTTAGGGCGCATATTCAGGCCATTGCTGCATCAACACGGAACAAATCCCCGACAATCAGTTCACCGAAGGATGAAAAGAAAACATGAAACATGCACAAAAAAACTCACGTGTAATCAAATATGTCCACGGGGATTTCATTTCCCTCCCCATCTAACGCTTTCTCGATCTTAAACCCCCAAAGCAATCTCGCAATCGTAATAAACGTCCCTTGCTCCGCCAGCCCCTGGCCACTGCAAACCCGCCTGCCCCATCCGAAGGTCATGTAACCCTTCTCGCCAGGGAACGGACGAGACTCGGGACTATCCTTGATATACCGATCCGGATTGAAGCGATCTGGATCCGGGAATTCTCGCTCATGGTGGTGAATAGCCCAGACATTCCCTTGGACCCATGTATTCCGAGGAATCAACCAACCCTAGATACAACCCATCTTATCAGCAATCAATCAAGCAAAGCGATCCGCGCAGGCTAAATACTAGTAGTGGATATATGTAACCCGCTTGGAGCGACCTACATACGCTTGGAGCGGCAGGGACGAATGCTTAGCCATTTACCTTATAATGATCGTCTTTGATCGGCGCGTGCGGCTGGCCACCTATGATCGCGACCGATCGCCACCGCAGCACTTCCTTGACAAAAGCCTTGATGTACGGTAGATCTGCTTCATCCTGGAACGTCGGGCTCCGGTGTGTTCCCACCACTCTGTCCAGTTCCTCCCATGCCTTGGCTAGTGTTTCAGGGAAAGCACAACAGGCCAGGACGAATGTCACTAACGTGGAGCTTGAAGTGTCACTCCCAGCTCCGAATAGGTTGCCCGAGAGCGAAGATATTTCCATGCGAGTTAGCTTGTGCTTGGGTGCTTCGTCGAAGATCTTCTTTGCGTAGCTTTGTGCTGCATTTGGGTTTGCTGCGGCTTCTTCGGCGAGAGCGTAGAAGAATGGTCGGCCTCTTCCTTGGCCTTTTCCTAGGCCTTGTTTCCAGGGTGCCATCCAATTTGGGAATTTTGCTAAGACTAGAAGATTGTTAGAAATGTATCCTTTTCGGGAGTAGTGTCTACGTAGTCCTGGTGGATTTAGACTCACATGGAAAAGACTCCATTAGCATCGGAAACGTCTTCCCAGGCACATTAAGCTCAGCAGCCCGCTGCATAACAGAAATAACCTCCGTGATAATCGGATCGGTGAAGGTAGCAACGCGCCTCCCAAAGCCAATAATGGAGACAACACTCGTCGCATACCGTTCGAAATGCTTCACGTATTCCTTCGGTTCGTGCAGAAGATCAAAAGCAACAACCTTGCTCTCGTCATTCTGGAAACCACGATAGTTTCTAACCTGCTGAAGGCCGACTCCCATGTGTGTCAGTTTTCGATGTAATCTCCACCTGTCGCCGTAGTACATGTTGACGAGATTAGATTGTCCTGCGCCCAACTCGCTGAAGACTACCATGCGTGGTCGAGAGGCGTATATTGCGGCACGTTTGTCGAGAAGCTCGCTTGCTGCCCATGCGTCGCAGATCCATATTGTTGGTCTTCGTCCTGTCCAGAACGTTATCATTGGTGAGTCGTATTGTTTTGCTAGTTTCTCGAAGTAGATCCATGGCTTTTCGTCGGGTAGTAGGTGTGTGTTTCCGATTAAGGGTAGTGGAAACGGGCCTGGTGGCTGTCGAGACGTTAGAATTCGCATCAAAGGTGCGGGTTCTATGGGTCCAGGGTGTTCGGATTGATGCATACCATATTGGAGTGCAAATAGAGCATTCGTGCATAGTCGGCCATAAGAAGTAAGAGCAAGCCCATGAGAAAGGGTGAAATGACCGCGAGAAAGCTAGCCTTATTCCATAATGAGCCAGAGAGGAGCAGCTGGGCCTGAACCAGAGACAGAAGCTCTCCAGCCTTTTCCACAATCATATTGACCTCGTCACTGTAGTAGAGAGAAAGCCCAGGGCAAAGCACGTCAGCATAAAATCAGTTTGAGAATATCCAGAGACGGCTTCGAGCAAGACTAGGATTAGTACTAGATATATTGCGGGCGCCAATGGAAGGGAGTGTGTTCAAGATTATCACCCGGGCGTCAGGCTGAATGGGACCAGGGACTGACGCAAACCCCGCCTCCAGACATTAGACCCGGAGAAGTATAAGGTGCTGCACCGGGGAGAACATGGCCTAGGTGCATCAATGCGCCTTGTATACCTCAAGGGCCCCACATATTCGGCCTCAAGAGAGCATCGCCAGGATAGAAGGCTTCTAGTCGTGTTTTGGAGGGTTTGTTTACAACACGAGTGAATGTTGAGACTGACAGCAGTGCTTCAGATTTCGGCATACCATTTTCACATCCCTGTGCCGTGTAGTATATTACTTTCTTCCGATACTGAGAAACAATACATATCAAGTCCCATCAAATTTAAGTCTTAAACATGTCTCATACCCCATGTTCGGTGGGGCCGCCTGCCCCAGATTTCCCAGGCCCTGGAACCGATATGCGGGGGTTGTGGGGGCATTCAATCGGCTTGTTTTCTACCAGGCCGCAGAAACAAGCAGATCGATTCCTAAATACAGGAAGAGCTCACCTAGTTCGGCGTATTGGGATTGGGATATTGGAATGTGGCTTGACCCCTCCCGCGATCCTCGGTAGTGCTGGAAGTCCATCAACCGAACGATGAACAATCTCGCTCGTTACCTAGGTATATGTGTGTTTACTTTTCTTCCTGGATTCACTCATCCAGCCTTGTCCCAGTCCTCCAAGCCCGTAATTGAAGACCGGATCTGCACCTCCTCGCCATGGATAAAATTCTGTCCTCGACTACGCTATGGCAGAATCGAAAGTGTCTTCTTCTCTGCTGTCTTGTTTCCATGGCGAACATGCAGTATGGATTTGACCTTGCCGCAGTGGGATCCTTGCAAGCAATGCCCGGCTTTCTCAAAGTATTTGGATACCCATCGCCAGATAGTGACACCGGGTACGCGATTGATGTGAGCAAATACACTCCAACCGAACTGGTCTAAACTAACCCCAATCAGAGTACAGTACAGCAGTTGATCACATCCCTCCTCACGCTGGGCTCCTTCGTTTCATCTCTCGTTGCGGGATTCTTCTCCTCTTACTTGGGCCGTCGCCAGGCACTGTGGCTAGCCTGTGTCGTCAACGCCATCGCATGCGGTATCCAAATCGGAACTTCTTCGGCCGGGGTGTTATATCTAGGTCGGCTGTTACTTGGCTTCGCTAATGGCTTTCTCGTTACATTTTCCAACATCTATACCGCTGAGGCAGCACCGGCGCACATGCGTGGGGTGATGGTCGCGTTATTCGCTTATTGGGTGAATATTGGGAGTATCATGGGCGCTGTTGTGGATAATAAGACTAAAGAGCGGATGGATGCGTTATCCTATAGGATTCCTCTGGCTTGTCTTTATATTGTTCCGGCACTGCTCTTCGTTGCTTTATTCTTTGTCCCGGAGAGTCCTCGGTGGCTGCTCCATCGGGGTAAGGAGGATGCCGCGAGGAAGGCGTTGGAGCAGCTTCGGGGTTCGAGTTACGCGAAGATCCTTGCGATTGCCCCGGGGTACAATAGTGGGGATGAAAATGGGAGTGTTGAGAGCACGAGTGTCATTCCAACTCTGCTGGAGGTTGAGTGGGCCGAGATGGTTAAGGGTGTTGAAGAGGAGAAGCGCACGCAAGGGGATGTCGCTGCACTGGACATGTTCCGAGGTAAGCAAATTGCCTTCTGACGAAAATAATCTACGCCAGTACAGTCTAATTTTCTTCAGGCGTCGAACTGCGCCGAACAATCCTCTGCTACTGCATGATCGGCTGCCAAACAGCCTCAGGCGTCTGGTTTCTCATCGGCTACCAAACATACTTCTTCACCGTCTGCGGTATTGCAAAGGCCTTCGAGTTCTCCATCATGAATACCTGCTTCGGCTTTCTGGGCGTCAATATCGGAATGTACGCCATCCGGGAATGGCTCGGGCGTCGCTCGATACTCATTCTTGGCGCCGTCGCCTGCGGACTTTGCCAGCTAGCTAGTGCGATCGCGGCGTCCGTGAGTCCCAACTCCTTGCAGACAGGCCAAACGCTAGTGGCCTTCACGGCACTGTTCATGTTCTTCTACAACGGCTGTGTTGGCGCGGCGAGCTACCCCGTTGCAACAGAATTGGTGAGTTCGAGACTGCGAGCATGGACGGTTGGCACGGCGACCTCGTTGGGTTATCTACTCGCCTGGCTTGTGAATTTCTGCACACCTTATTTTATTAATCCGGAGCATCTCAATTGGGTGAGTGAGCACCTGCATCATGATGTAATAATCTGTCTTCTGCGGTGGATCTGGCACTAACAGGGTTATGCAGGGGGCTCGATATGGGTATATCTGGACAGCGTCGAACTTGCTTTGCGTAGTGTTTTTCTACTTCTTTATGCCGGAGATGAAAGGTCGGTCTTTGGAAGAGTTGGATGAGATTTTTGCGGCGCGAATTCCGGCTCGGAAATTTGAGTCGTATCGGTGTTTGATTCGGGAGGCTGCTCACTTGGATGCTGTAAATGCGAAGAGTGGACAGAAGGGGGAACACTACTAACTCCAGGGCTAGTACTAGTAGAAAGTGTAAACTGCCGGATATTTGCTACTACTACCACGATTTAGACAATTTCGAAGTACTATTTGGTTTTCTCATGATAAAATCGCTTGTTTGTATTTTTATTATCTAAAGACGCTGGGTTTGATCCAACCCCTCCGATACCCGCAAGAAATGAAAAGATAGTAAGGTAGTATTCCACAACGCCAAAGATATGCTTCCTAAAAACTTCAAAATAATATGTTCACATCGGAATTTTTCTTGAAAATAAGAATCAAATAGATGCAAAGCTGAGGATGTTGAAAACGAAAAACGACAAGGGTAATCGACATAAGACATGAGTTGAGGTTTGGGTCGTTATCATGAAAGCTGGGACTGGGAGTATGTATGATGCGAACTGTCGTGAGCTGAAAATGTACAGTATAAAGTCCACTAAAAAGCCTCGCGGCTCTAGACGTCTTCGGGACAAGGAAGGTTAAGCGGTAAACATGAGACGCAAGCGACTCGGGCCCTTCTTCTTCTTTGCGTCTTTCGGTGGTTTTTCTCTCTCGGACACATATGGTGAGGATTTCGAGGGGGCTTTGGAGGGAGCTTTTGAAGGGGCCTTGGAAGGGACTTGACTCGGTGCTCGGCTTGGAGCTCGGCTGGGTGCCCTGCTGGAAGGCTTTGGAGGAGGGGCCTTTGTAGACTTGGAGAAGAAAGAGGTTGGTGCTCTGGATCTAGTATCGGGTTCCCTCTTTGAGCGACTGGTGGGTGCTTCGGAGTGTGCCCGCGAAGTTCGAGAGCGATGGGAACGGTGGGAACGATGGGATCGACGCGATGATGCGACAGAACCGTCGTCCTCGAATTTGAATCGGGGATCGCGCTGCGCACGGGCGGTTGTGACATCGATTCCAGACATGGCGGCTGCAGTGGGGGTAATGAATTCGCCGTCCACCGATGTGCCCAGACTCATGGCTTCCATATCGGCGACACCTCTGCGCCACATTTCGACGCCGCTGAGGTGTTCCACGTCAAACTCCATCATCTCATCCATTCCAGTAGATTCTTGTTTCTCGGCTGTTGTAGTTGTAGTTGGTGTTGTGGCACCGCCTTTGATCTGTTTGATAATCTTGTATCCACCGAACATGACAACGGTGACGCCGAGACCGACACCGGCGGCGATGAGGAATTGGGGGCTGGCAAGTAATGCAAATACGGATGGTGCGCCGGCTTTGAAAGCAGAGAGTGCAGCCGGGCCCATTTTGCTAGCAAGGTTGCTGATTTCGGCAAGAGTGAGGGCGACTGCGGCCATAGCATCAGGGTTTTTTTGAAGGTGAGAGATGGTTGCGGTGGCGCTGTGTTGCACACAGTGCGCTTCTTCGAGGAGCCACTGGGCACGGTCGACCAGTCCATTCAGCTGCTGCTTCTCATCCCCAACAGGCACCGGATCATATTTTGAGAGGGCATCTGGGTGGGCCTCTCCATAGGCAAGATCCATATCTATATTGGCATCTGACTTGGACCGAGCGGTATCCGGGCGAATGGGTTCTCGAACTGTGACATCGTGGTGGGTATGCCGGCGGGCGATAGCCTGTGACGGAGCATATCGAGACCCCGCTCGGCTGGGCGCTACCGAGTGTAGGTCTTGCTCATAGTGTGAAGGAGCTCGAGAACGATGTCGTGTTGAATGATGGCGAGACCTTGTTCCGCGACTGCGTCCTGATCGTTCTGATGGCGCATCATCGATCTGGTAGTTGGCGAGGCCCTGGAGAGCCTGCTGCTCCGCGACCTTGGCACTGCGCTCCGAATCAAAGTGGGACTTGCGCTCGCGATAAGCTTGTTTCGCCTGGCTGAAGACACCAAAAAGCTGCTTACTCTAGAGACAAAAGACTAGGATTAGACTGGAAGATGTATAGAAGAGGGCTTTGCATACGACTTACAGTGCTGACGACTTTTCCGGATTTATCAATCACGGCGATCGTTTGGCCTAGCGGCATCGCAAAGAATAGTCTTTGATGACTGCCGGACAAGGAAGATCACTCATCAGACGGGGTGAGATCGACAGGTCGAATGATAGGAATTCCCAGTGGAAGAAACGTAGCGGTGTGAAGAGTGTTCAGGGGTGCTGGGCGAGATATAAATGAAATGGCGGAAGTACCTGGGGGACTTTGGTACAACTTCAGGAGAGGACGGAAAATAAACTGGTTTGCACGGCAGCCCCGTATAAAAAAAAAAGGAAAATAGAAAGGAATGCCCAAATGAATTATTCAAGGCAGAAAAAGGAACAAAAAGGAGAAAATGATCAGCGGCGAAATCCGATCGGAAAAAGTTCAAGGTACTCAGGAGTTCCTCTTAAAGCTGGGGAAAAAAGTGATGCGTGGTGGCTGGGGGGCGATGGCATCAGCGTGCAGGGCGGGTTACAGCAGTTGGGCAGAGCAGCGAACAGCGAACAGCGGAGCGGGTTTGGATGTTTCGTAGGGCAGAATCGGGTGTCAGTGATGCGAAGGCAGAAGCGAATCAAAGGCTGGGCACAGCTGAGTGAAATGGGCAGCAAAGCGCGCAGACCGCGGAGTGGGGAGACTCGGGATTGTTGGCGGGGTGTGATTTGCGCAAAATCTGCTCTGCGTGAGTTTGCGATTGGCGCCGATGTTGTGTGTGAGGAGATAATCACACTGTGTTACTGGAAGTTTAGTCACTGGTGGTTACTGGAAGTTATTGGTGGTTTGTACCTGTACTTATATTGCGACTATAGAGACGGCAGGGCTGACCGACTAGAAAAGTCTGCGCGGATATTAATGAAAGAGCGGAGCTTGCACCTTCTCGCGACTAGTCATTTAGTTAGAGATAGCTATAGTTAGCTACTGGATCTACTCCGTACTGGGTCTGGGTCTAAAGTACCAACGATAATGCAGTGAGTACTCCGATTTCTCCGATTTTGTACTGCGGAGTACAAACAGCGGTGACCCCCGCACGCTGATTGGCCCGTGCTGTGACCGCCACTGTGGCTGACAGCACCCTGCGGATATTATCCAGCCACTGTGGCGGTGCTGAGCAGCTGTACATTACACTATAGTTGGCTGGTTATATTACTGCCTGTGACTACCTACAGTCAAGTAGATTCTTTTTACGGAGCATACTCATTGTGCTAAGATGAAGGATATAGTCCCCTGGCCGATTGCAATCCTGGCGATGGCGACAAATGGTGCCATCCCTGTGCAGCTGATGGCTTCACAAAGGAGTCATGGATCCCCCTATCCATAACTAGTTCATTCCACGTATGTACCAGTAGTCAACAGAAACAAACAGACAATGAAACATCTCAGGGGGAGGTCATCTGGCTTATCTCCCGGTCGATCACCGTCGGTGTAGTTGCTTCTGTCGTGCCTTGACTTGGCTTCCATTTCCATTTCCATTCCCACCTAACTTCATTTCTATTTTCCATATTCCTTCTGGAAGCTGACAAGATTTATGAACTATACGATAGGTCATGTTCACATTCAGATCAGTCACTCTCCCCGTTGTTGCTTTCACCCTAACTTTGCCTGCTGCTACTGCCATTCTCCTAAAACGTGATCTACAATAATGGCCGTGCTTAACAGTTCCCAACAATCTCCTCAATCTCCCATAGCACGCCTTCTGTGGGAGCCTCGGTGAGTCCACTTTTTTCGTTGAAGAAAACGCTCCTATGGCTAGCCTAGCCCCAGTGATCGGAGCTATGCGACCGACAGTGGTCACGATTCAAAGCAGATCATATCCGACCTGGGCATAAATATTCACTCACTGACCAAGAGCCTCCCCTTTTTTAGACCCGTGTGTTGCTGGAATCACAAATACAGATATGCTAGGGGTGGTGAGTCGAATACTTTGGCGATGATGCAATTCAATGTTTGTTAGGGGGGGATTGTGATTTTTGTTGTTCCCGCACCGTCACCGCCGACCTTATGATTCATTTCCCATTCTGCTGCCCGCACCTTCTTCTCCCCCAGATTTCCCTCAATGGCCCAATGAATCAATTGACTTGAATGAATTGCACTTGATCATACCCTTTTGATTTATTCTTTTTCTTTTTTGTTGGATTTGATCCTTATTTGCTTTTGATCTTGGTCTTGGCTGACTAGCGATGGATCCAGCGGATTCAGGAAGCACCTCCGACTTGGAGGACCACTCCAAGTCCTGGGGATCGGACGCGCGATCGCCTGCCCCATCCGCCGATGATGCGGGTAGTGCGTTGCAGCCCCAGAGTGATTGCGGAATAGGTCACCGTGTTTTGGCCAGTCGCTCTGTCCTTGCTTTGGTCATTGACGAGGAGTGCGTCTTTGCCGGTTTGCAAGGAGGTGACATTGTGGTAAGTCGTCTATAATTGCTTCTTTCCTGCGGCATTTCGAACATTATTCCTTTGTGGAACTACTGCGTTGCATTTTCAAGTTAAAGAGTCACATTCTAACCTTTTCCAGGCGTGGTCGCTCGAGACATACGATCTCGTCTATTCCGTGCATGCACACAAAGAGAGTGTGCTGGGATTATATCTGTCAGACGATGGCAATCTATTGTTCTCCAGTGGCGGTGATTCTGTGATCAATGTGAGTAATTGTTTCCCTGGGCCGCAATAAGTGTGAACATCCCAGGCTCATACCGCATAGGTTTGGTCAACGAGGACTTTTGAGCGCCTCTATTCCATCTACTCCCACCATGATGTGGGTGATATCTTTACCGTGGTCTATTCGGCCAACAATCAAACATTATATTGTGGTGCTCAAAATACTAGCATTCAAGTAAGCATCCCCCTTGTCGATCTATACGAGCACGTCATTGACTCCACCAGTGGTGTGATTTGTCTGAAGAAGGCTCGACTCTCAACCAGAAGGCCTCAGCCGCTCATCCATCTAAACGGGCCCATCGCTTCTTCGATTCAAAAGGCCCGGATGGGACGAGGGCTCCTCGACCATCAGATGGCGCCCAGTCCGTATCGGAAGGCGGACGGGTTCTAACTTTCAAGCGAGACCATCATAAAATCTTCGCTCACCATGGATATGTTTACTCCATGTTACTTGTCAAGGGCTTGATTGAATCGGCACCATCCGAGGAGGCGCTATTGACGGGCTCGGGTGATGGCGTAGTGAAGCTTTGGCGTCTTGGTCAAACTCCCGGCGCTGCTCCGTCGCAGATCGCGAAGCTCCAGAATGGAGACCCTGTTCTGTCGATCGCGGTTGAAGGTTCATTGTTATACTGTGGTCTTGCAGGTGGCGCTTTGAATATCTGGAATCTGGACTCACAGCAGCTTGTTAAACGGATATCTCGCCATATCGGCGACCTGTGGGCAGTCCATGTTATCCAAGGTGTTGCAATCTGCGGTGATTCTACTGGAGTAGTCAAGGTATGTATATTAATTTCTCCCGCCACGCCCAACCGACTTAAATTTGACTAACCGTTATAGAAATTCAACTCTCGCTTCGAGGAGGTCGGCAGCTGGGTTGCTCATGAAGGTACTATGCTGGCATCCGCGGCTGGTCGATTTAAGGACCGTCATATCTATGCCACTGGTGGAAATGACAACACGGTGGGGATATGGGATCTCACAGAGTTTTTCCTGACTCAAGAAGAACTCCCGCCCATCAGTAACGATGAAATGGTTAATAGCCTAGCAAAGTTCGTGTCATTCAAAACGGTGTCAGCAAGCCCGAAATTTGCCGGCGAGTGCAACCAAGGTGCTGCGTTCCTTCGTCGACACTGCAACTACCTTGGTGCGAAGACAAAGCTACTCACCACTGGCCAGGATACCAATCCTATCGTCTATGCCAGATTTAATGCGACCTCTCCTGAAAAGGTTGATAAGACCATTCTCTTTTATGGCCACTACGACGTTGTCGGTGCGGATGCAAACAGACCCAAGTGGAAATCGGACCCATATCAACTCACGTCGATCAACGGTTTCCTCTACGGCCGTGGTGTGTCGGATAACAAAGGCCCCATTTTAGCATCCCTCTATGCCGCGGCTGACTTGGCCCGCACGAAGTCTCTTCGCTGCAATGTGGTGTTCATCATCGAGGGCGAGGAAGAGTCGGGATCTCAGGGATTCCACCAAACAGTGCGAGAGCATAAAGAGGAAATTGGCCCTGTGGACTGGATTCTACTAGCCAACAGCTACTGGCTAGACGACTATAACCCTTGCTTGACATACGGACTCCGAGGTGTTGTACATGCCAATCTGGTAGTGACAAGTGATCACCCAGATCTGCACAGTGGTATTGATGGCAGTGCTCTTTTGGACGAGCCTATCAAGGACTTGTCGCTTTTGGTATCAACCTTGGTCGGACGGAAGGGCAAGATTAATCTTCCCGGTTTCCATGACACTGTCAAGCCGCCCACAGAGGCTGAGGAGAAGCGATTCCAGGCTATCGCCGACGTCCTGCTACCTCACCACCCCGAGATTCCCAGTAGCCAAGCCTTGATCAAATCACTCACATACCGTTGGCGTGAACCCTCTTTGACTATCCACTCGATGGAGGTACCAGGAAGCAAGAGCGGAACGACCACGATCGCGCGCAAGGCCAAGGCAAGCCTCTCCATCCGTATCGTCCCCGACCAAGAGGCCGATGACGTTGCAGCAAATTTAACTGCCTTCGCCCAAGAGCAATTTGACTTGCTTGAATCGCAGAATGACCTTACGGTAGAGATCACGGGTAAATCAGATGCATGGCTTGGCGATCCTGACAACCAGATTTTCGCAACACTTTCCGACGCAATCACCGCAGCATGGACACCGAATGAACAAACATCAAAGCATCAATACCCAGCCGTGCCACAGCTCACAAATGGTCGCGCGACCCCTACCAGCAAACCATCGGCAGCCCACACCCTTCTCCGCCAAGATTCATCCGATAGTCTTGCTTCCCATGTTGATCGCGTCATTACATCAACGACAACTTCCTCCGCAGGCAAAGCCGCGGCGCGCAGGCGCTCTGCACAGCAAAGTGGCAATGTGCCGACTTCGTCAACACTTACTCAAGCAGCAGCCGCATCAGCTTCTTCCAGTGAATCACTCTCTCTTCCCGTTCGATCGCAATCCGAACCGCAGAGCGACACTTCAGACCTCCCAATTTCGCCATCGCAAGACACCCGATCTGGCGTGAAGCCGATCTTCATCCGCGAGGGTGGCTCTATCCCTACCATCCGATTTCTGGAGAAGGAATTCTCCGCACCTGCTGCCAACCTTCCCTGTGGTCAAGCCAGTGATAACGCTCACTTGGACAATGAGCGGATGAGGGTGGAGAATTTGTACAAAAGTCGAGAGATTTTCCGATATGTTTTCGCGCATTTAGTGGACAAGGTTTGAAAGCATTTTCCTGCGGGTTTAGCTAGTTTCTTTTTTTTTCTGGGGTTCTTTTGCACTGTTTTACTTTCTTTGAAATGTGTAAATTATACCAAATTTTATCTTGCATCCATGCACACTGTTTCTGTGAATGTTTGTGCTACACTCCGTAGGCTAAGGTATCACATCGAACTAAATTGGTCGAACAAGTGTCTTTTTGAGGCTTGTGTTGTGTCTTGTGCAGTGATTTTGAGAGCATAAGGCCAGTATGAACTTGTATATTCATTTGATTAATTGATCTGTCCGGATTTCCGAGTTAGGCTGGGAGGCCACCCCATCTACTCCGTAGCGAGGCAGCAATATAAGGTTCAGGCTAGGGCCTGTGTGGAGTACGGTCTATCTCCCCTACTTCAGGGTCCAATTAAACCAACTTGAAGGTGTCACTACTTTAAAGGACCGTATAGTCTCAAGGCATTTAAAAGATGGTAATAATACTGCGTAGTAACTCAAGACTGGATGCACCGTCTCTTCATCGCGGTCCCCATTGCTGTCGCCTTTGCAAGGTCACAGAGATCCTCTGCTTGTAGATTTCGATCGACCACGCCAACCAGATACTATGCTAGAGAGAAACTAAGTGTAGAATTCTGGCAGGAATAAAATGGCTAATCTCTATTGGCTTGATTGGAAGGCCTCGCTGTATACGGCGCGTTCTCGATCCACTGCTCCGTAAGTCCACTCACCAACCCACTCTCCATTACCATACCCCTCTTTCCTACTCTGGCTATCTTTTTTCTCATTCAACTTACAGGTTTTGCTACTTTGCCAAGAATCTCGCAAACATGCCATACAGTCAACTGTATCAGCAGAACTATCTGCTGACCCGAGATCGCGTCGAGAGTGAACGGTGAGTTGCCCATCTTTGTTTACAACACTCCATTCCTGCTCCTATACCTTGCGAGAGTATATCACTCAAGAATTAACATGCTTGCTGTGATTTTTCGAGACTCTCATGTTCCTGCAAAGCCATGTGCCCCAGATTCAATCTTGTCTCGGATCTTGCATATGGGCCGAGGGCCTGGACTCCAAAACACCAGTTTCCTCACTGTATGCTGACCCAGGCATTATAACGATTGGAAAAGGTCAACTCAAGCCTTTCTACGCTAATTATCGTCAAGAAAGCATAAACCTCGTCGGTGGGCTTGAATTCTGCGTGGAATCATCTCGAGTGTGCACCCGGCTGCCAAGTTTACTGAGACCATTCCCATCCCATCTTGAACACCACGCTAATTGATTGTTCCTCGAATGCTAGTCTGAACAAACAGCATCACTTTCTGATCAAGCTCCTGAACGGCAACTACATCGACCCCTTCATTCACAAGAAGCAGATCAAAGCTATCGCCGACGTGGGAACTGGGACTGGGTATGCAAGACTCCACACACCAACACAAAGCTTGAATAGCATCAAGAATCAAGAAGCTAACCCATCTAACCTGACACGAAGAATCTGGCTGGAGGCATTCGAGAAGTCTCTAGTCACTAGCAGCCTCCCCCGACCCCATCTTCACGGTTTCGACATTTCGGCAGCTCAGTTTCCTACTGACCACCCGATTCGCGACCCTGAGCACCGGTCAATTCCCCTGAGTGTGCATGATATCCTGCACGAATGGCCCGCACAGAACAAGAGAAGTTATGACCTCGTGCACATCCGTCTGTTGTCGACAGCGATCAAGAAGGAGCAATACAGAGTTGCCATCAAGAACGCGCGCGAGCTTCTGAGTATGTATATGTACCGATTCCTCCAGTTCCAACAATCAGCAATCGGTACTAACCACTGCCAATCATAGAGCCAAACGGATACATACAGTGGGAGGAACTTGATCTCAAAGCCTTCTACACCGACCAAACACCCGCCCAAATCCCCGCAGTCGTCAAGATGTGCGAGGTTGTCAACCACGCTATGATTATGAAGGGGCTGAGCCCCTTCGCACCCAACCGCGTCTTTGAGGAGCTCAGCGCTGGTGGATTCCGATCCGTCCAGCGTAAGACATACACCACCAAGGGAAAGAAATACCTACATGCTGCTGCGGAGGAATGGGTGATTGGCGTTTTGCAAGCGATGCTCGTCCCTTGTATGCTGATCACCGGAGAAGCCAAGAATGAATCGGAAGCACGGAGCATGGTTGACGCTCTAATTACAGAGTTTGAAAAGCATTGTAAGGATGCGATCCCACTGATTAACTTCACCGTCATCCTCGCGCAGCTCTGAAGAACATGGGAAAATACTGTCTGGAGTGAGGGCCTCGCCCTCGCTCACATTTCGATACCATGTGTGACATGGTTTCGATCGATTCAGTGCCAGTGTTGGCTGGTAGTTGTTAATAAACATGGAGATCTCTGCCCTAATACAATAGGGCTTATTTTTCAAATATTTCTTTTGCTAATTTCGCCCTTCGGATGAGAATTACTCGACTAGAGTACAGGGGGCTCTCAAGTGCATGTCGGCATTTCAACCGGGTTGGTGGCTGAACCAGACGACTCCATCTCGTGAATGCCATCATATGCTCCAATACCCGAGTATATCTCATATACGGAGCCCCGGGATGCCTCGTGGATTGGCCTCGAGTCTGATTCCCTTGGTTTATCTGATCGAACGATCACATTCAAGCCCGTCTTTCGCCTTCTACGATATACGAGGGAAAAAATAACCAGAAGAGTAGTGGTCCCTAAAGCGGACGCGACTCCAATTCCAGCTTTTGTGCCAATCGATAGCCCGCTGCTTTTTGTATTGGGATGACTTCCTCCGCTTTGCGTAGACTTTGCGTTTCCTGCTGTAGGTGTCGCCGTTTGCGATGGGAAGTCGTCTGGCTTCCAGCGTATTGAGATTCCCTTCGCGTTGATGCCGTAGATTCCTGTTTCTATGGATACTTTATTTTGCCACGTAAAAAAAAGGTGAATGTTTGCGGTGTCGGTGACTGTTGAGGTGCATGGGTTTGAACTATACCAAGGCCAGTCATAGCCGCTTTGTGTATTATAAAACTAGGACATCGGTGTCAGGTCAGACGTAGTGATTGATTCATGGCCCATAACTTGAAGTTCAAGATGATAATTGCTTACCTTGGACAACATGTTGCCTGGGTCTCCTCATCGGATGATATACACGTCTGGTCGACAGGGGCATAACCCTCCGGACACACGCCCGGGGAGAAATAACCAGTAGGCTGATAGCCGGACGGGAAGCAGGTAGACCAGTCCGACGTGCCTAGACTAGTCCACCACCAAGAATAATTCGAGCTCGCTGACCTTAGGACATGGTAGGAATCGGTGGTGCAGTCGGCCGGGGGTGAGAAAGTCGTCGTTAAGGGGAGTGCAGCTGTAGTTGCCATGTTGATCACAAAATAAAAAGGGAAGGATGATGACGAAGAACCAGGAAGAAGTATTTAAAGAAAGACTTTTTCTACTGTACAATCATCATTGAGTCTATAGCTAGGTGAAACCGTCCGCTGTGACCCTTTCTGGTCTGTCAGCAAAAGGCCAGACCCTCCGATCCCCCAGGTATTTTATTTCTATGGTGATTACTAGGTGAAAAAATGTCTTATTCGCCTGTACCAAGTCAATACTCGTGCGCTTTATCATGAAACTTGCGACTGCGATCTCAAAAATGCCCTACTAGGAGAGGGTATGACAATCTGAAAGTGCCACGGTACCTTGTGTGCCACCGGCCGCAGACTAGGAATTGGAGATGCCTGGGTTGGATGAGAATCCCTACCAGGAGTATTACTGGATCAACAATATCACTGGGACGGGTCTTGGAATTATATGTCCCAATATTCATCCCCGACATAGGGAGGGGTAGAGATGCATGGCGCCTGATACATTGCAGGGTTCTTGCTTAGGTGCCATCGATGGGCGAGTTCAACTTGAAATTCTCCACCAGTCGACTCAGAGGGGAAATATAATAAATATACCTATACAATAGTGGACTGGGGATGTACTGAATGAAGCAATTTACAGAATTATGTTATTCCTTCCCTAGGTATACTACTAGTATCATACTGTTATGTTAAAATGTACTCGCACTTTGAATCCCATACTGGAAATAAGTAGTAATTCAATACTAGATTTTTGGTGCATCAACTGTTTATTAGAAACAAAAGTAGACAATGAAGTGGGCATGTGTATCACAGAATTTGCTGCAAAATCGGTCACCTAGGAACATTGGTTATCCGAGGAAAGTCCATATGTCTAATAAGAGAAGCTAAAGGTTTTACTGAGGCTGATATTTTTCTCTTTCTTTTAAGATCCCCAGACCGACGATCATTTTTCTTCTTCTTCTTCTTCTTCTTCTTCTTCTTCTTCTTTGTTTGTATTTTGTACATAGTTTATACCAGACAATGAGTGGCAATTCTTGGCTTTCTCTTTCCGTTTTAGCGTTCAGCCCCTCGCCGTGAGTACTACGGACCTGATCAATCCTAGATTATTTCCTAAGCTCCTGTAAGTTAACTCTGGCTGTATTGAAAAGCGATACGCTAACCCGCCGTAGCTTAATTTACTACTGTGTCCCGAGACTCAGGTAACCCGTATGTACGTAGCTTCACATAATCTGATAATCAAGCAATCACTATGATGTCATGTTATTAAAAATGCTAACTCCATATTTCCAAATGATTTCGAATATTCACTTATCATTACCTTCATTATGGCACGTCAACCCCCTTCTACTTCGGGCGTTTTGCCAGAGCCAATTTGTCTCTTGTGTGGAGTGGCAATTCGATCCACAGACAGGTTGGAAATGCCTCAAGAATATTCGAAATTCAACAAACAATATTGGAAAAGGCTTTCGAAGTCCGATCCTAAACATGATGTTTTAGTATCATCAGATGAGGTACTAGAATTGACCTACCATGTAGGCAAGTTTCCTCGGGTATGGTCTTGCCTCTGTCGAGCTAGTAAGCCTCTGTCAAGTTAATTAGTGTTAAATTGTTCCGGGTTTTCTAATTAGCTCAGTTATCAAGGACTCTGCTACCAAGTACCGCCTAACGGGCATTACTTCGATACAGCATTGGCAGGGGCCCTTCTATGCTGTGAATGATCCAACAAAAGCGAGAATCGGCGGAAAGAAGAAAAATCCCCAATACGATAATCAGGTGTTTACTCAATTCTATGCTGCACACATCAAAAGACAGCCTAGAGTATACAAAGATAAGACTATCGGATATTTTATCCATGCCCATTGCTGGGCCCTGTTCGGTCAAGTCGAATGCCCGAGACTCAACAACATAAAGCTCGCTAAGTTGATCCAAATTTATCGAAACTACTGGCGGGACAATGACTGTTGGGGAATATCCCCCGATTTCACTGGCCCTTCCGAGCTTACATTAAGCTTACGATGCGACTTGGAAGTCTCCCACAGTCCGCTTGTCGTGCCCGAAATTCAAGAAGCTATCATTTCCGCTAAGGCTGAATGCTATCATCCATCCTCTGTCTTCAGTATCCTTCCATTGGAGCTTATGGTTTTGATCTCTGGGTATGTCTGCCATATCACAGAGTACACAGTAGAGGATGTTCAGAATTTAAAAAATATGCTCTTGGGATTTGGATGGGAGCTTCCTGTGTGGTTCTGGCGATCGCGATTGGGCGAAAGTTTGTTTTTTGAATTAGAGAAACCGACCGATACCTCTCCAGTGGATTGGAAATTGAGGCTTAATTTAATGAGTTTAGTTGCAGGTCAAAGTAAGCCCGTTCCGAGTGGTCTGGTTAACCGTGAACGAGTGCTTGGGGTTATGTTTGCTCTTAAGAAGCCTGAACCCTAGAGGCCAGCACAAAGTAGTACCTGGGTAGGTAATAGATATATTGATTTTGAAAATTTGCTGGAAGGCTTTTACTAGCGCTCGCTCAGACAATTCTTGAAGTGCTCACGGCCTTGATACTTAATGATATCTACGAATATGGTTTAATACTCTTTGTATCTCTTTCTCATGCTTGACCAAATCCAAGACTTTGCCAGCTTCCACAGTGGCACCGGGGCTCCAATCGTCAACAGACTGACTGGCATCATCGTACTTGTACACCCGCATCGATTTTCCTATGGCCACGATTCCATAGACTGGGCTTCGGTCTGAGACTCGACGTGTCCTATGTGTAGCCGCTAAGTAGTGGTTTAATTGCCCGACCCCTTCGATCCAAACAGAAGAACGAGTCTCGGATCCTGCTCGCTTGCACTGGACAATTAAGAATTTGTCCGCTGTACTCGACTCTCCACGATAGTGAAAGGTATGCAGGTCTGAGTACCCTTTTTCTCCAGACTGGGAAGTGTGCTCATCCTGGGGTCTGGTTATATAACCTTCTTGGACGGGAAACTGAAAATTCAATATGGAGTTCCAGACCCATTACAGGATTGATTCTGGCTCTTTGTTTTTGATTCGTTTGATTTCTTCCACGACTGCATGCAAGGACATGTACTAAGGCCAATTAGCGATTTGAACTTAAGGATGTCGAGGTCACGATTCACTGAAGACATTGTGATAGCTTCGCTGGAGGAGGAAAAGAATTTGAAGCGTCTAAATTTTTGTGCCTATTATCTACTACTGTTTATGTCCGTAAGGAATCCTACGTTCGATACCTGGGTATGTACTCATCATTTTACCCGCTCCCTTTCCTTCTTCTTTACTTTGCTTAGAATTTGGTCGAGTGCTACTACGCTCCTGGTCTTATCGTATCCGGGCTCTTTACAATGAATCGAAAATACAATACTACCAAGGTGAATTGGCATAAAAGCATCAAAAGAGGGACATTTCCTACTATTGTCCACCATGTAGACGTCCTGTTGCCTAATTGAACCAACGCCGTATAATTCACTATTGCCCATTCTGGAGACTTTCTTTGAGCAATTAAATAACAACTGAATATTGAACCTCATCCATTATCTCCATCACTCGAACTGTTTCAGCTTGGCAAATTATGGACCTCTCTACCTAAGTAGCTTCCTGATACTGAAATCCGCGGCCTAAAGCTTTGAATTTATCCGCATTTCCTTGGCCACGACTGCCTTACTGTCCGTCTCTTTTCCAAGTTCTCCAAATGTCCGGTAGACGGGACGGTGAATGTAGAATTTACTCGTTATTCATAAAAGTGGCAATGAGGAAATATACTACATCGGGTAACAAAATTCTGTGAACACTGCAAAAATGAATTTCTTCCAAGGGTGGCATAGATTGGAAGCCTCTTGCACGATATCGTCCATCGATCTTAATGGATAGCCCGTGTGCCGTGATGTTTGGTGTTCCTCTCTTCCCAGAGAGCAACGTTCAAGTATTTACGCCAGTCGCAATCGTCGCTGCCATTCTACCTACAAGTCAGGTATGAAACTGCCCAGGTGGTAGCGCTTGTAGGTACGATCAAGATAAACTATTTTCTGAGTCTGTAGCGTCTCTTTGTGGACTGGAATTAAAACGCAATGTAAAGCTGAATTAGTTGTGAAGACTGTTCTAGTACATGTCTACTGTCACAAAGTGTTTAGATCTCGATCTCATAACCCTAGATGTATTATTCCAAAAGCGATTAGAGATTCGCATAGGAAGCAAAGACATCTGTTTACCAGTTCCCACTCCCGTGGGTACCCCAAGCCCCGCTTGAGGTAATTGTCTGAGTGCAAGTAGTGGTCACACTGATGGTGGCAGTAGTGGTGACAGCATCCGTGGTTGTGACGGTAGCTGTAGAGGTGACGGTGTCCGTAGTGGTAACGGCATCCGTGGTAGTGACGGTAGCAGTAGCGGTGATGGTGTCCGTAGTGGTAACGGCATTCGTGGTGGTGACGGTAGCCGTAAGGGTTGATGTACACCAGGATCTGGGACTTTTTAGCGAACGCGAATCTTGGATATATGAATATGTGTCTGTGAAAACTCACGTGGAGACCTGGTTCGCCCAGCCCGACTCATGCGCGAAGCTCTCGCAAGCTGCCCGGTCACATCTGCCATTGCGGCCAAGCAACTCAGGCAGCGCAGTGACATGGGCACAGACAGTCAAAAGGGTGAGGAGAGAGAAATGCATCTTGAGAGGTATTTTGTTGAAGTTGGGGGTCTTTAGGATAGTACAATATGCGGGTTCAAGTTCCAGTGTGCCTTTTGCCAGTATCAACTTGAAGGTATTAGATTATTCCCAGATGAGGGTAGGTCTTTATATAGCCTGCTCGAGGTACGTACTTTAGTACTAGGCTATAATGATTGGGATATTTTTCTAGATGCTTCAATGTTAATAGGTTAGGAAAGGTGCACGGATTATGGGAGAGGAATGTGAGCGCAAAGCTTTCCCAACCTTCAGATTAAGGGATACCTGTAACCCTTGACGCCACAAATAAAGTCTCCGTTAATATCCATTGATACATTTAATGTTATTGGTGGCTCTAGAGTGCCGGATGCTACCATGAATAGACAAAAAAGGCTTATATGTGTGAGTCTAGATCAGAAATAATGTGTCTTTCTCCAGGGCTATCTCCTCGCAGTATTCTAACATAGTATCTCCTAATATAGAAAGCCTCCGAGTCCGAGTCTCGAGTGAGTACTAAATCACGTTGGGTCTGTGGCACATGATGTACAGTTGATTTCTTCTTTCCCTGTGTATCAATATGGATTTGGATTAATCACGGAAAATATACTAATAGAGCACAATCAGCCTTTCTCTGACATTATTATTGAATGGTTGGTTGTGCAGGGTGAAATTATGAGAAATGTGACCTTTCAACTCCTCACCGTCAGAAGTATTACTTACTATCTAAAGCAAAAGATCCCCTGCTCTTGGGAAGATCTCTATTGTTGAAATATCATGAGAATTCTTCTACCCCAGGATATATGTTATTTAAGTGAAGAGTTCCTCCGTCGTCTGGTCTCGAGAAGGACCCGAGCTCTTGTATCCAGTGGCCATCGTATCTGTCCTCTTCCCATTGCGAGGCCAAAGTCGTTGTCTCCCCCAGATGTGAGAATGACCTCCCGATATCGTTGTCCACGGTAGGCATAGAAGCCCAGTTTTCAGCATGTGACCTGTTACTGTCGTTGTCATGAATTTTTTCCTAGGGGTCAATCAGCCCTAAACGTTGTAGGAAACATGGAATGCTTCAAGTTTCCGCCCCAGAAAGCCCCACACAAAAACAACCACTTCAATTATGTCAATTTTATCCGACGAGGGTCAGGTGGGATTGTGAGCCCAACATTTCCCAGGCGCGCTGGAATGTGTTATCGGCTGCTTTGGTCTCGGAAAGCTCTGTGTTCTGACTGGCCAGAGTATTTCTACATTCCACGGAAATCCAATGCATTTTCACCGCTTTATAGAATCTTTGGCAAGAATTGTGTCTATCTATTCTAACCAGTTCCTTCAGGAGCAACATGAGCACTGAGGCGGAAGGGTAGATTCGCTATTCGTCACTTTAGTAGTATCTAGCATATGCAATCCTACGATGTACGGAAACATAGACGCGAGGTATGCTCCGTTGATAACGGAGTCGCTGTAAATGTCGTGTAGGACACGCGTATCTTACCACCTCCAGACTATATACGCCAAAAAATCTCATCAAAGACCTCATTCCTGCTGTCAGAAGAGCCTAGGAATCCAGAGACCAGCGAATGAGGACGTAGTTTATGGAATAGGCAACGACTTGTAAGATTCCTGGATAAAGCGAATACAAATTTATCCGTTAACTCAACTACAGGGAGTAACTGGGAAGACGTTAAAACAGTTACCAATCAAGCAAGGTGTAATATAGTAGATATGGCTAGTAGTGCCCTGCCTGTGGATGTATACACAAGCTGATTACCTGATGCGGCTAGTGGATGGCGTGCTTGCTGAGCTAAGCCCCGCAATGACGGAAATGACGAAATGCTGCCTATTCAACTTGACGAACTTGACGAATCTCAAGTTCGAACTTCATATTACAGCCAATTTAATTGCACAATGACTTCCTTCATTGCTCCTCAAGTCTGCCGTGCTTTTAGAGCAGCTCCCAAGGCTGCTCCTTGGGCTCGCCTTTCCACCCAGCTGCCTCGCGTCCAACCCGCCTTCCGCCGCTTCTATGCAGCTTCGGCTCAAGAACAACCCCGATTGCGTCTGGGGTCGACCGGTATGAAATTGCTTGTTACTCCTCTTGATTTCGATAACCAAGCTCACAATTGATTCACCAGCACCTAACTTCAAGGCCCTGACCACCAAGGGTGAAATTGATTTTCATCAGTTCATTGGCGATAGCTGGGCCATACTCTTCTCCCACCCCGCCGATTTCACCCCCGTCTGCACCACCGAGCTTGGTGCCTTTGCGGAACTGAAGAATGAGTTTGAGAAGCGCGGCGTGAAGATGATTGGTCTGGTGGGTTGACATTTCTCTTGTGAGCAATGGTGTTCAGTTACATAGGCTAACACGGTGCCAACTCAGAGTGCCAACGATATCGGTTCTCACGGCGAATGGATTAAGGATATCAACGAGATTGCCTCGACCGACGTTCAATTCCCTATTATTGCCGACGCCGACCGTAAGGTTGCTTTCCTCTACGACATGATCGACCAGCAGGACCTGGACAATATAGACCAGAAGGGAATCGCGTTCACCATTCGCTCTGTTTTCATCATCGACCCCAGCAAGAAGATCCGCCTGACGATGATGTACCCCGCCTCTACCGGTCGCAACTCCGCCGAGGTCCTGCGTGTTATCGATTCCCTGCAGACAGGAGACAAGAAGGGCGTGACCACCCCGATCGACTGGCAGGTTGGTGACGATGTTATTGTTCCTCCCTCGGTCTCCACCCCCGACGCGAAGAAGAAGTTCGGGGAGGTTCGTGAAGTCAAGCCCTACCTGCGCTACACCAAGTTCTAAACCGCCACGGGTCGGATGAACTTCGGAGGCTTGCGCTTTGTAAAATAAGATATGACCAGTCAATCAAAACGCTCACGCGACGGGAACTTTGTAGAAAAGCGTGGGTCGACCATCGCGATTCTTCCACGATACACCCGGCTTTCATGCCGGATGGAGTAGCATTCGGGTAAATCACAACAGCCAACCTTGGAAGACGAACAAAATCGAACGCTCCGCAGAGTTCGGCAAACTCATGCTTGATGAAGGATCGGATGACCTGCACTGTTGGAACCCCTGACAGGTGGCTTATCTAGGAAATGATAATCCGGGGGCCTGCAGGATCGTCATCGATAGTTTACCGGGTCTTCCTATTTTGGGCCACAGCCCAGCATTGGCGTCCTTCTTCTGAAAAGGAGCCGGGGGTATTCCACCTATCCCTGTCCTGCATTACGATGTTCAGCACTCGGTTATGCAAGCGAATGCCATGGGCGCCCTTCTCTCTGGACGGACCAAGTAGATCCATTCCATTCTCCGAGCAAGGATCGCCTAGAAGAAAATAACTCCTGGACGCACGTGGATCTCGCGACTACCCCTCTCCGTCTTATTTGGAGATTTAGGGACATGATGTCGCATTATCTTTGTGTCACCTAACCTGCTATTCATCTGTTGTATAGCGCGGGTGCTTGCGTTTTGTCTGTCGTGACCCGTTTCTCAACCCCGCCTGGTCACTATGGCTCCGTGGACACGCCTCGTATTGGGCTCACTACTTCCTCAACTGCTCGTCGCATCTCCAGTACCCGATGCGGTACTCGACCCCGTGAATCTCGAGCAACGCGACGATGTGTCGGATGATTATCAATCGCCTCCGTACTATCCCACGCCCCATGGCGGATGGGTTTCCGATTGGGCGGAGGCCTATGAGAAGGCATATCAAGTAGTCAGTAACATGACACTGGCGGAGAAGGTCAACCTGACCACCGGAACTGGTTTCTTCATGGGACCTTGCGTGGGACAAACAGGAAGCGCTCCCCGGTTCGGCATCCCGAACATCTGTCTACAGGACTCGCCGCTGGGGATTCGAAATTCGGACCATAACACTGCATTTCCGCCTGGAATCACGACCGGCGCAACATTCAACAAAGAGTTGATGTACGCTCGCGGCGTCGCAATCGGCGAAGAGGCCCGAGGGAAGGGTGTAAATGTACAACTAGGTCCTTCTGTTGGTGCCCTCGGACGCAAGCCTAGGGGTGGTCGAAACTGGGAAGGCTTTGGTGCAGACCCTGTTCTACAGGCCGTTGGAGGTGCGCAGACTATCAAAGGTATGCAAAGCACTGGTGCGATCGCAGCATTAAAGCACTTCATCGGGAATGAGCAGGAGATGTACCGCATGAGTAGTATCATTACCCAGGGATACTCATCCAACATCGACGATCGTACGCTACATGAATTATATCTATGGCCCTTTGCAGAGGGTGTCCGTGCAGGGGTCGGGTCGTTGATGACTGCATATAACGATGTAAGTTTGGAACACTGCGTTCACGGCGATTTGCTCACACTGTCTAGGTCAACAGCTCTGCCTGCAGCCAAAATAGCAAGCTCATCAATGGGATTCTCAAGGACGAACTTGGCTTCCAGGGATTTGTCATGACTGACTGGCTTGGCCATTATTCCGGCGTCGGGTCTGCACTAGCTGGTCTTGATATGTGTATGCCCGGTGACGGTGCTGTTCCTCTGTTTGGCGATAGCTACTGGGGACCAGAGCTGTCTCGCTCAATTCTGAACGGGACAGTTCCTGTCGATCGTTTGAACGATATGGTATGTAAAATAGATATCGCTGGATCCATACATATGCTGATACAAATTTAGGTCACTCGAATTGTTGCTACGTGGTACAAACTTGGCCAGGATAAAGATTATCCCCTTCCCAACTTTTCTACAAACACACAGGCTGAGACTGGACCTCTTTATCCTGGAGCTCTCTTCTCACCTAGCGGTGTCGTGAACCAGTTCGTCAATGTGCAAAGCGATCACAACATCACCGCCCGAGCAGTTGCGCGGGAGGCCGTCACCCTACTGAAGAACGAGCAAGGTATACTTCCCTTGCGACGAAACGACACTCTCAAAATCTTCGGTACCGACGCAGGTGGCAATCCCGATGGACTGAACTCTTGCACCGACCAAGGCTGCAACAAGGGTGTTCTGACTATGGGTTGGGGTAGCGGAACCGCTCGACTGCCGTATCTCATCACACCCCAGGAGGCTATTGCGAATATCTCGAAAACTGCCGAATTCTATATCACCGATTCCTTCCCCAGCGATGTGACTGCCACGTCAAAGGATATTGCAGTCGTCTTCATCAATGCTGACTCGGGTGAGAATTATATCACGGTTGATGGCAATCCTGGAGACCGCACTAAAGCTGGTCTCAATGCCTGGCACGACGGGGATGCGCTTGTCAAGGCGGCGGCAGAGAAGTTTTCTAACGTTGTTGTCGTTGTCCATACTGTCGGCCCCATCCTCATGGAAGAATGGATTGACCTCAAGTCAGTCAAGGCCGTTGTTGTGGCACATCTTCCAGGCCAAGAGGCTGGAAATTCGCTCACGGATATCTTGTTCGGCGACTACAGTCCTAGCGGCCATCTGCCATATTCGATTCCACGCAGCGAATCTGACTACCCTGACAGCGTGGGCATCATTGATCAACCCTTCGGTCAAATTCAGGACACCTTCACCGAAGGTCTATATGTGGACTATCGACACTTCCTCAAGTCCAACATCAGCACGCGCTTTCCTTTCGGTCACGGTCTATCATATACAACTTTCAAATTTTCGAACCCGACTATCTCTGTGGTAACCGCCATCGACAGCGCCTACCCCCCCGCGCGACCCACAAAAGGCTCGACCCCTGTATACAACAACTCCATTCCTGCGGCTTCCGAGGTCGCATGGTCCTCGGCCAAATTCACGCGGATCTGGCGTTACCTCTATCCCTACCTTGATAACCCCGAATCTATCAAAGTATCGGACGACTTTTCTTATCCGGTGGGCTACAACACAACGCAGCCAGAGTCCTGTGCTGGTGGTGGCGAGGGTGGAAACCCAGCACTATATAAAACCGCATTCACTGTGCAGGTCCAAGTTACGAACAACGGAGCCCGAAGAGGCAAGGCCGTGCCCCAGCTCTATGTTGAATTGCCATCTAGCCTAGGGCTAGACACACCCGCCCTTCAGCTACGTCAATTTGAAAAGACCGAGGAGCTCGCCCCAGGCCAGTCTGAGACTGTCACTCTTGATATCACCCGCAAGGATCTGAGTGTCTGGGATGTCGCGGTGCAGGATTGGAAAGCACCCGTTAATGGCGAGGGCGTCAAGTTATGGGTCGGTCGTAGTGTGGCCGATCTTCCAATTGTTTGCGTTGTTGGTGGACAGTGCTCTACCCAGTGATCCTCTGGTCCGCTGACCCTCTTTTTGAGCACTCTTTTGCCCTTTCTTTTCATTGATACCACCGCACACAGTCTCTCCAGCCCGATGGAGCGCCACTAAGGTGGATCTTCGGACCTTCTGATTACTTTCTTCTGAACTGTATATACTTTCCTAACATAATATGTCCATATTTATCGCATTATTTAACATACTACCCATCAATGGCCTTCTTGCTCTTGAATGCCTAAGCTTCCTGCACCGTGACATTTTCCAACACAGGCTTTTTCTCTCGATCCAAGCCAGTTACAGTCTCCACATGCTCCTTGTTCAAGTGAGTCTTCAAGATAAAAATGGAGCAGAAGACACCAACGCCAGACATGCAAGTATACAGAATCCACATGTTCCTCATGCTCCATGCAAAGGCCTCCTTCACAGCAAGCAGCTGCGCAGCATTCTCGATGGTCTTGATGATTTCGACACTCGCAGCCGCGGAGTCGCCGGTCATCTGCTCGGCTAAGCTTTCCGACATGCCAGTAGCCAAGAGACTAGACTTCCTCTGGCCCATGCTATTCTGGAAGACAACGCCTCCAATGACGATCGATGTTGCCGTGGCCATGTTACGGATGAAGCCCAAGGTCGCTGTTGCCGACGCTGTCTCATCTTGCGTGACCATTGCTTGGATAGCGATGATAGGTGTTTGGAAGAGAAAACCAGCTCCAAAGCCGCTTAGAAACTGGAAGCCGACTATTTCTCCCAGCGAAGAATCAACGTCGAGGCTGATGTATAGCCCAGTTCCGATCGTCATCAATGCTAACCCTATCCAGACCAGTTCGAGGTATCGGCCTGTGCGGTGGATGATCGCTCCGGTTATCATGCCGGAGAATGCCTCTGCAAGCACGACAGGGAGTGTTAAAACACCTGATCGCATCGGTGATGCCTCCTTAACAGACTGAAGATAGAGGGGAATATAATATTCGCCCGCAATGAAAACCTTTGTACCGGTGTCAGTACGTTTCCCATCAACCCTGGAATGATATAAGTTATCGTTCATAACTCACAAATCCATGGGCAAAGGCCACTGCCAGTGCAGCAACATTCGAAGGCCGACTGAAGATACCCAATGGCATAATTGGGTACTTAGCTAGTCGCTTCTCGCTATAAATGAATAGCAAAGAGCATAGAGAGCCGAAGACTATCAAGCAAATAACCTGCGATGAGCTCCACGCGAAAGTGACACCTCCAAAGTCCAGGCCGAGGAGCAGCATTAATGTCAGACCAAGGACGGATAAACTTCCAAACCAATCAATGGCTTTAATGCCGTCTATCATGTTGGTCTTTGGGTTGTGCACGTCTAGGAAGAAGAAGAGCAGAACAAATGCGAACCCAGAAACTGGGAGATTGATCCAGAAGTTCCATCTCCAGGTGACATACTCGGAGAAAGCACCTCCCATGAGTGGACCGATTCCACCGGCCAGTGCCCACATGCATTCCATGAGTCCAAGATAGAGACTGCGGTGCCTGTCGGAAGATCAGCACAAGATACAGGAAGAAGAATGATCAATATCCCAACATACCGTACGCTAAAAAGATCGGAAATAACAATGGTCACGAGCTGCAGAAGACCACCACCAGCAACACCCTGCAGGGCACGGCCGGCAATCAACATCTGCATATTGACAGCGACAGCGCAGATAATCGAGCTGACAAAGAACCACGCAACGGCAATGAGAAGAATCAACTTGCGACCCCAGATATCAGAGAGTTTGGCCCAGATACAAGCACCAGCAGCATTAGCAAGCAAATAAGCCCCACCAATCCAAGTGTACCCAGATGCTGAATGCAGTTTTGCAGCAATCGTGGGGATGGCCGTCGCGACGATCGTCTGATCGAGCGCAGCGACAAACATCGACAACTATAACTATGAATCAGTGTCGGAGAATTTTTTTTCCCTTGGTTTAGAATCCACTTTGACGCATGATCTTACAGAAAGAGCTGTCATGATGGCCACAATGCGAAGTTTCGCCCGGCCCGTTGCTGGGCCATCTTGGATTTCCATGTTGGATGACATTTTCTTTTCTCCCGCCTGGTTGAAGATACCTCCTGGCGCGGCAATAAAAAGGAGAGATCGCCCGCGACAGGGAGAAGACGAAGAGTCAGAGCTGTTCATGGAACCCGAAAATCTCTTTGATCTGACTCCCGACCCCGCAGCCGTGTCCAAGACAGTGGGTCCGCTAACTTCCGAGGGAAACGAGACGGGGCTCGGGCATCAGTTAGTCCGTGATCTTGAATGAGTTCAGACTTAGGTGATTTTGTTCATGATTAGTGAGTGGTTGTTGTTGATTTTGTGGAGTCGCTGAGACGCTTGAGGGATGATCAGATGCTTCTACCTTGGGTATCAAGTACTGATCTCCATGTTCGAATGCTATCTAGACAAATAACTTTTCTTCTGAATTGAAATTTCCGTAACCAATGGCTTCCCAGGGTAATACAAGGAGCCTTATGAGCCCGGGGTTAATTTCAATTAGTCCCATTGCAATAAACGAACGAATCAAGCCCGTTATATTGTCAAAATAATGATTAGTCTGTCGGGGAACTTGGCTCATGATCTACCGGACTATTTCATCTGCTTCCAATGCACCTGTTCTTAACGGGCTTGAGCAACCTAATGTTCTAATTGTTGAGTTTTCTCTCCTTTCACTTTACTTTGCCAAGCTTCTCTGTACATAATTTGGGGGATATGAATTTGGGGGCTATGAGAATCGGACGAACAGCGGTAAAGCCAAAAGATCTCCTTCCCCTACTGGTAAGCGTGTTAAATAGAGTCATTTCGTCGTAAATTTGACATACAGCTACTTGCTATGGTGTTTGAATCCCTATTTAAGTGATAAAGCAACAGGGGTATCTTGTAGAATCGTTGGCCATATTAAATAGCGGTGAGTCCAAAAGTGACACTATCCAAGGTTCTATAATGAGCAGTTTTCACTAACATGGAATTATCTCCTCGTTCTCTCGCCATCAATCCAGTTTCCTTGAAAGACTGGACATTTCTACTGTTTTGTTTTGATGCGAATTGCATGGTGCAAGGCGTACGGATGGACGGATGGCTTGCTTACATCCATGGATATCTCCTGGGCTTGAGGCAGCGCTTTCTGTGCCTTTGATGAGAAGTCGGAGGCTTCTCCGGGGCTCTATTGTGAGTCTGCCAATTGGTTTCATTTGGACTTGTCAATCTAGTCAGCTGAAGAGAAATTTCCTAACAAAACATCAGTGGTAGTATAGTACCTAGGTACTTGACTATGAATTTCGATACCATCTGTATCGATGGATCTAGATACGACAAAGGGATGGGTCTGGCCAGGAACAAACAACAACGAGCAAACTTTAAGATAAAAAAACCGCATATAATAATTGTAGAATCCACCAAATACTTGAGTGAATTCACTTTTCACAGAGAAACTTCCAAATTCTCCGATCCGATATACATAGTCTAAACGAGCTGCAGAGGATCGAACCAATGACAAACCCGCGATGCCAATTCGATCTCAGTGGACCATCCCATCGAACAATTACGATTCAACAGATCACAATCCCCCACTCTAGAAGAAGTGTCCTCATAAAACCAAGGCCATTTCCAAGTATTTCTGCCAATTCATCCGTCACTCATCGAGAATGCAGTACGTCATGTGACGTCAATTACTACAGCGCACCAAATCCTCACCATCAATTCACAACATCATCTTACATAGGTATCCCAGCCTGAATCATTTGAATGCCTCGAAAGCAAACACTTCCACTCCTCCTACCTACCATCCACCAATTGACCCCACCCCAACATTCAAAGCACCCAGCCCGGCCAAACTATCTACACACCACTCACCTCACCTCCAAGTCTCACCGGCTATCAACATGCCCAACCCAAAACAAAAAGCAACAGTAGTCATCTACTGGCACCGAACAGACCTCCGCCTCCACGACTCCCCAGCCCTACAAGCCGCCCTATCCCTAAACCCAACAACCTTCATCCCGCTCTGGACCTGGGACCCGCACTACGTGTACAAATCCCGCGTCGGCCCAAACAGATGGTCCCACCTCCTGCAATCACAAACGGACCTTTCAAAATCCTACAAGGCACTCAACCCGCACCAAAAGCTGTGGGTCGTGCGCGAAGCGCCGCAGACCGTTCTGCCGAAGCTCTGGGCGCGGTGGGGCGTGACGCACCTTGTTTTCGAGAAGGATTGCGATGCTTATGCGCGGGCGCGGGATGAGGTTGTTGTGCGGTTGGCGGAGGAGGCCGGCGTTGAGGTTATAGTTCGGAGCGGGCGGACTTTGTTCGATGTTGATGAGATTGTGGCGAAGAATGGGGGGAAGGCTACGATGAGTATGGCGCAGGTTGAGAAGGCTGTTGAGAAAATTGGAAAGCCGGATAGGCCTGTTGATGCGCCGACTGCGATTCCGGACCCGTTGGAGTGGGATGGGATGGATTTGACGGGGGTGGAGGAGGAGGGTGATGGGGTGTTGGAGGATGGGGTCGATGTGAATTCCGTTCATCGCTCCGGGACGGATAAGCAGTATGCGGGGATTATGGGGCCGGGGAGGGACTTTGGCGTGCCGACGTTGGAGGAGATTGGCATTGATGCTGGAGATGTGCGGACGCCGCATTGTGGAGGGGAGAGTGTTGCGTTGCGACTTCTTGCCCGGTGTATTGCGGATGAGGAGTATATTGGGCGATTTGAGAAGCCGAATACATCGCCTGCGGCGTTTGAGCCGCAGTCGACGACGCTGCTTTCGCCGCATCTGCATTTTGGGACGTTGTCTGTACGGAAGTTTTGGTGGGATGTGCAGGATGTTATGGAGCGGCGGAGGAAGGCTAAGAAGAGCAATGCTTCTATTCCGACGAATTTGCCGGGGCAATTGCTCTTCCGTGAGATGTATTTTGCTGCGCATGCGGCTGTTGGAGAGCCGTTTTGTCGGACGTATGGGAACCCGATGGTTAGGTTTATTGATTGGCATTTGCAGAGTAAGTCCCCGGAGGAGATTGCGCATGGGGATGCGGGGGATAAATTGTATGAAGTGGACTCTGATGAGGCGGAGGTGTGGTTTCTACGATGGAAGGAAGGGAGGACTGGGTTTCCTTGGATTGATGCTTTGATGAGACAGCTTAAGCAGGAAGGTTGGATTCATCATTTGGGTCGACATAGTGTCGCGTGCTTTCTAACGCGGGGTGGGTGTTATGTCAGTTGGGAGCGAGGAGCTGAAGTATTCGAGGAGATGTTGATCGACCGTGAGTGCTCTCTGAAGCATCATTTCGCCCATGCATTGCGGACAAATAGCTAACACAAATCATCTCAAATACAGACGAAACGGCGTGCAATATCGGGAACTGGATGTGGCTCTCCTGCACAGCATTCTTCGCCCAGTTCTACCGGTGCTACTCGCCCATCACTTTTGGCAAAAAATGGGATCCAGAAGGTAACCTGATTCGGAGGTACTGTCCGGAGCTAGCGAAGTTTGATAAGAAGTACATCTACGAGCCATGGAGGGCGCCAATCGCCGATCAGCAGAAATGGGGGTGCAGGGTCACTGGTGATGGCAGCAGTTCGACCAATGAGGACGGTAATATCTATCCTAAGCCAATGTTTGATTTTGATCAGCGACGGACGATCTGTCTTGACGCCATGAAAAACGCATACCATGTTGGACTGCATGGGGATGATAAGGAGGTCAAGGATGGATCGTGGCGGAAGGCCTTTGGTCTAGATGAGGGCGGCAAGAGGCCTAATAAGAAGCAAAAGACGTAGGAGTGATAGAATAGTTATGGGTGGTAAGATTTCCTTTTTAATATCTTATCAAGTGTTCATTTGTAGTTTGTGATGTACAAGCGCCCCAAAGATTTCGTGTTTGTCATAATTCCTCCCAATATATGAATCCAATATTAAATGCGCCGTATGCCGTGTGATAAGTAAGCCTCAGAAATGCAATATGTATGACTAGAAGAAAAAAGAGTAGATGAAGACGAGGACCGTGACGACGGTTGCAATCTCGTACTGGAATTCGAACCAGGCAGCCTGGCCACCAAAGGCAATCTTCTTGCTCTTCTTCGTCGGGTGCGCCACGCCGGTCTTGGGGTCCCGATCCAACAGGTCCTCGCGCTGGGGCACAGTGGGAGGATCAATGGCGTAGGAAACAGGCGTCCACAGGGAAGTGCAAATGAAGAGAAAGGTCAGAGGGGGCCAGAACGCGTGGGTGATCAGGCAAATGACAATGCCCTTGAACCCGCTCTCCTTGTAGAAGCATCGGTAGGTGGAAATTGCGACCGCGACGATGGTAACGTAGACGAAGGCGAAATGGAACAGAGCCATGAAATTGAAAAGAATCACGCGTAGGCGGACGAACAGGTTCTTCCTCAAGTTCGCATCACGCTCGTTCAGTTCGGAGCCGAGAGAACCGGTTGGCTTGAATGCCTGGGTCTGGCCGCCGAGCCACTTGGGAAGAATGAAAGATCGGACAATGCAAAGAGCGATATATGGCGACATCCAGAGCTGGTAGCGGGATCCACGCTGACCAGTGTGGTAGCCGGCCGGGATGAAAAGCGCGAATTCACAAAGACGGTTGGCGATGGTCGAGGCGAAACAGGTCCAGATAAGCCAGTGCAGTTGGTCTTGGTTGGCGTAGGCCACAAGCTGCTTGCCCCATAGGAGAATAATGGGGATGGCGAAGAGGGAGGCTGTGAGAAGAATAGTGTACAGACTGAGGGTAGCGTAAAGGAATCCAGAAAAGCGCTGGGCAATGGTCATCTTCTTGACGGCATCACCCCAAGCGCAGAACTTCATCTTGAAGGCCGTGTCGACGGTACCGATGGCCCAACGCGTACGCTGCTTCAGGTGACCGCCATAATCCTCAGGAACGGTACCAAACTGAAGAGGCTCGTGAACATATGCCGTCTTCCAGCCCTTTCCGAGCATCAGGGTTGAAGTCGCGACATCCTCTGCCAATGAACCAAGGGGGAAATTGCCAATTTCCTCGAGCGCCTCGCGTCGAACAACATAGCCCGACCCAGTGCACCACGCGACATTCATCGCGTCCTTGATCGGCTCAATCACATGCACAAAGAAGTCGAGACTTTGCGCGAGAGGATCGGACGCAGGGGTGTTGTAGAAAAGCTGGGGAGGGCATGCAAGGGCCATCCGAGGGTCCACCAACAAGTGGGGAAGAACGGCGCGCAGCCACTCTTGTTCGGGGATCTAAGGCCACCCATTTAGTTCATGACTCGCGGAGAGGGGAGGAACGGAAAATTAGAGTGCTTACCATATCAGCATCGAGTGCGGCCATGAATTGACTGGCGCCGCCGGGCAACGTGTGAACCTGATCGAGACCATAGTTGAGGTTACCGGCCTTGAAGTGGTGAGGTTTGCCGGGGATTTTTTCACGGGCCATGTAGTAGAGGTTAGGATTGGTCATGGCGATTTGATTGCATGAGTCCTCCAGGGTCGCTGATTGACCGTCATCCAAGACAATGACTCGGAATCGTTCCATAGGGTAGTCCTGGTCGAGAGCACCGCGGACGGTGTCCAGCACCACCTCATCCTCCTCTCCACAGCAGGTGATGAAGACGTCGACAGTGGGACATTCATTGCCAATTAGACGCAGCTTCGCGCGGCCTCGCTTCTTCAAGGCCATCATGGTCCAACCGTTGTGCATCAGAGATGGGATGGCAGTGACGACCTCAATTCCAACAAAGACCCAGGCACCTGCAAAGCTGTAGCCGGCGGCATTCTGAGCCATGATGATACAGTAGATGCGGAGACCCAGATAGAAGAGATAGAGGGCGGTATTCGCAAAGGTGAGTAGCGGGGTGAACTTGAAGACGAAGCGCTTCCAGCCCTTCCAGATGTCGACATCATCGCGGTCATCGAGACGGGCAATGGAGCCAGAGCCGGTCTGCACCCATTCCTTCGCGAAACCCGGGGTGGCCGGGGTGTCGACTAGATTTGTGAGGGAAGCAGCACTCTGGAGCTGGGAATTCTGATACTGTTCGAGGACAGAGATCTGGGTTAGCTTCATGGCCACCATAGCACTATACTCTGCTATACCGCAGATATGCCTCGTGTCTCGCAAGAATGCACGACGAAAGGCAGAGCCACATGGGAGAAATGGGAATAGGAGAAAGGGTTAGAGGAAGAGACGAAAGAGACGAAAGCATACCAGAGTGGGAGAGGCCGAACGAGAGTCATATGGAGTGTTGGGGAACGAATCCGGCCCACCGGAGAGGCGCGGTGTCGGTTGCAGCCATGAGGAAGAATATTCGGGAGGACTGTAATTGTGGTTGTAGCTGTGGCCCGGTCGGATTGGCATGATGGGGCGAGTGGATGGAGACGCAGCAGAATCCGGGAATTGAAAGTCGAAGGAAGTTGAGGAGGAGTTGGGATTTGAATTGTGGTGATAATTTTGATGGTTTTGAGGGGGAGTCAATTCAAAGGACTCTTCCTCTTCATGCAGAGGACTTCCATAGGGGCTGGGAGGGTATTGAGGCTGGCGGTGACCAAGACCATGACCATGACCTTGTCCTTGACCTTGACTGTTCATGTTGAGTCGATCAACCGCACGGTTGCGGTAATGCGATTAATGCGATGGCGGGGGAGGAATGAGAGCCAGAGCAAATAAGAATGAACAGAAGTAGGGTGTGGGTTGGAAAAGAAATGAAAAGAAAAAAAAGGGCAACCCAAACACGGCCCAGCAGAGTAACAGAGCAGAGGAGAGCAACAAGTAGCGAATGTGATGTAGCAAAAAGCAAAGAGACAAAGACGGGACGAGAGCTGCAAGGGAAGAAAGAAGCAATCTTAGAAACTGCTTAGGCTAGGCTTATCTGTATGGGCGATGTGTATTAAGATGTATTACGGTGTAACTAAGATGTAATCAAATGTAATTTAGTGTCCTGCCTTCTGATTGGAGGTGTGTCTGATTAATCAGGTTGACAAAGTACCCAACTGCCACTAAAAGTCGGACTAAAACTAGTGTTGGCGATCTGATGAGGGGACCGAGGCCCGCAGTCTAATTGCCTCCGAAGGCCTACATCTTATCCCCCCCCCCCCGAGTATTAATAGTAATAGTATACACCCCCATGCTGAATTCGAGGATCCCTTGAATAATTTTTGATAAAATAGAGCAATTGTATAATCAGTACGGAGTTCGAATAGTATTCATACTATCATATTATTAATAGTAGTGATTGTATTAATAGTATTCCCCACTGCGTCCGCTTGCGTCACCATTGTCCGCAGTCTACAGTGCACCCACTAACTACACAGTCTAACAGACATACCCTATGTATGAGTACACTGTAAGTATACGTACCACGCACTACCATGGCGCGCACTCCGGGTAAAGATAACCAAAATAGAATTTAACCAATCTTCGGGAAATCAAATTTTCTTCCAATGTCTCGCAAGTTGCCCGGGGATCCACAGATCCAGGCACAACCGTTGACCAACCAACCCACGGTTCCTGCATTCGCTATTGACCAACTGTTTGGTCAACCATTCCCGCTTTCTGACTGGTCGCGTGTGAGAACCAGCCTGCCATCTGCATAGGAACTGCAGTGACCAGCAACAGACCCTGCTCAGTGATCCACTTGGCCCACTTTGTCTACTTGATCCACTTGATCCAGCGGGTTCCACCCGGTCCTGCGAGGGGCGACAGGTTCAGGTACACTGGCGCACACACACACACTCTAGGCCGCACCCGGTTATCGTGGATCGGAGGTTCCCATCGGGAGATACGGTCGTTGTCACAGCCACCGAAAGGCGTCAGACCTGTACGGAGTATCTGCGAATACACACAGATACGCTCCAACCCTCCTCGCTGCAACCTCGATAATTCCGGATTTTCTGCCTTGGCAATTGTTCTCTTTCATCCGATCCGATCCTCACTTCTCATTGCCGGTTTAGGCCCTTTCCGATTTGTACTGTACTCTGTACTCCATACTGTTTCCCTACTCCTCCACCTCTTTCATTTTCCGACTTGACTTTCTTGAACATTCTTGTCCTCCTCTCCCGCATACCAACCTACACTCCCACACATGGCCCTGTCGTTGATCGTCAACGCCGGTCTCATGGCCCTGCCCATCGGCGGGTGTCTGGGTACACTATTCGGTATCGATGCTCATCGCGCAGCCACCGGTCAACGCCCACTCTTCGCTCCCAACCCCAATGATCCCGATGAAAATCGCGGCACTGGCAGCAGCGGAGGTGGTCACGATAGCACTGGTGGTGGCCACGAGTCGAGTGGCGGCGATGTCAGCGACAATGGCATCCAAACCTATCCTTACTGTCAACTCTCATATGGTATTACGCCGCCCTCCATCGATGGCGAATCCTTTACGCGTGAGTGCCCAGCGACCTTCCAACTCCATCAGTCAGTTTTTGGACCGACCGTTAATCTTCTCTGCAGTCAATCCCAACCAGTGGAATGTCAAGAAAGACTCCGATAAGGGTGCTCTCTGCATGAATGTAAGCGACTAGGCCCTCATGAGACTAGACTCTTGTTGCCGCGATAACTCTTGCTAATCGCGTCCCCCAATAGGTCACCACATTCAACAACATGACTTACCCAACCAAATATTCCGCCCCCGACTTCTCCGTCACATGGCAATTCGACCCTGGCCCAGAGACCAATCCTGTGTATGCTTTCCCCAACATCATGGTGGACAAGGTGCTGCCCGTCGGCCTCGACGACATGCAAGAACTCTACCTCAACGTCCACTGGACCTACGGCGTCGGCGACGAGATTGCAACCACCACCGACGAGTCCGAATTGACCGCCAATAACGTCAACACCAACGTCGCCATCGATATGTTCTTCGACAGCGATAAGGAGAAGGCGCAGAACAGCACCAGCGCCAAGTACGAAGTCATGGTGTGGTTCGGCATGTTCGGCCCATCTACCCAACCTCACGGCTATGGCACCATCGTCACCACCAACCAGATCAACGGAACCAAATTGTAAGTTTATGGGATTCTGACGACCCACCCCCCGACCGGGTACTAATTTTGAGCAGCGATCTGTACTCCGGCACGAATACAGCTACCGACCAAAACGTCCTCACATGGGTTTCGGAGAAGACGGTTGAACAATTCAACGGCAACATTTACCCGCTCATCAGCGATCTGTACAACTTGACCGGTTCAGTCTACCCATCCAAGACTGACTACCTGGGCTACTTTGGTTTCGGATCGGAAGCCTTCTCGTCCGACAAGAATGTCACGTTTGGAGTGACCAACCTCGAGATCGGCATCAAGACATAATTCCACAACACATATGTACATATAGACAGCGATTCTTTTTCCCCGCAATATTAATGACTGATACGATCCCGCACACTACTGCAACAAGCTTATTTCCAACCGTTGTATGGGGTCAATAGACCCGTTTTCTATACGGCTAGCGCCGATCCGCGTCAAATTTTGGTGGGGCTAAGCGTCCCATAGTCTCCCCGCTTTGTATTTGACACAACTCAATTCAATCGTCTGTTCATGAAAGCTGTAGTCATGTGAATGTATTGTATGCTTGTCATTGACGAAGCTACCATTGAATATACCGTGAGTTTTCCAGTGAGGTGTCAATGCACCGGTGTCGACGAACCTCATTCCGCATTCGGAAAGACGCATCGGGCGATGGGAACGGCACGGCGCAGATTGCACATCAATTCCCCTTAAATAATCAAATAATCAAGATTATGGAGTCGCACACATTCACTCATTCAAATTAACCAAATAGAGTACATGAAATCCCATCCACGAATGATGCTCACACCAGGACAATCTCCCATCGCGTATCGTTCCCGCGCGCTACCCTTAGCCTCCCACCTCCGCATTCCCCTCACCACTCCTTTCCCTCCACTCCCCCTCAACATCCCATCGAAATATTTAGTAGCACAGCACTAGAGCCACCCAGCATGGAAAACATCCCAGCATACAACCTATCCGTATTCCCATACTCACCCACCAAACCACAAGGAGGCAACCCAACAACAATCTACCTCGGCAACCCAACCGCAACACAAATGTACACCCTCGCCAAATCCCACACCCACGAATGCGGCTTCGTACTCACCAGCCCCACGCCCGACCACGGTCCGGATCCCGATCACGAAAACTGCCACCTCACCATGAGATATCGTGTCCCAACCCACGAAATGGAAATGTGCGGCCACGCAACCGTCGGCGCATTATGGCTACTCAACGAACTAAACCAACTCCCCGCAAGCGAAAAGGGCGAGCTCCGCATCTCAACTAAATCAGGCGTCGTCGATGCGAGAGTTCTGACTCTGCGCGGAGAGAATGCCACGCGTGTCCTCGTCTCACAGCCCCGAGCCACACTGCACGATTTACCCACCTCGGTATTCAGGGACATTGTTTCGGCTCTGGGTCTGGAGCTAGACGATTTGGACTTGGCGGGTAGCCAGAGGGTGAGAAATGCTTCGACTTCCCGGGTGAAAACGCTCGTTCCGCTGCGCTCTTTGGAGAGCCTTGCTTCTATCGCCCCAGACCAGGATTCTATTCGCGCTATCTGTGAGAAGATTGGTTCAACGGGATTGTATCCGTATGCGCTTGTTGATGTTGGGGAGCAAGTTGTTATGGCGAGGCAGTTCCCAAAGGCGTCGGGGTATGTTGAGGATCCGGCGACGGGGATTGCAGCTGCGGCGCTTGCGTTTGGGCTTTTGGATGCTGGGGTTTTGGGGGATGCGCGGAGGTCGGTTTTTGTTAGGCAGGGGTGGAGTATGGGGAGGCCGTCTGAGATTGAGATCATGTTTCGATGGGAGAGGGAGGAGATTGTGGGCTGTTGGATTTCTGGGAGGGTTGAGTGGTTGGTTGCTGATGCTGCTGCCAGTGCTTCTTGATATACCAGGTATACTACAGGTGATATCTATATGGTACTATACTAGTCAGTATGTTGGAGGCGTGACGCATATCCTCCCAAGCCCAGTGCCTTTTCAGTCAGCTCTAACACTGACATTGTGGTAATTATTGAGAACTACCCACTAACACCAGACTCATTTCGACATGGTCGTAGGGTAAAACAACCAAAACTATCATGTATTACTACCTTTCGCCCTTTTAAAGCCCCACATCTGTCCAAATATTGACCAATCCTAGGATGTCAATAGTTTGTTTCTACGCCCCAGGCGGGCGCGCCCGGCTACACGTCGTTGCCTCCAGTGCTTGCTACGTGCCTATATCACTACGATGACCGAGAATTTTTCTAGAGTGATGTTATTTGCATGGTTTGGGAGTTGCAACCCCAAATCACAAACACGTAAAGGGGTATTGGCTTAGCTGTGAGGCTCTGTTACAGCTCGAGTCTTGTTTATCAGATTACATCTCTCCCGTAACGACTGGATCGCTTTGTTCAAGCTAGGTAAGAATATCTGATCGGGACATGATTGAGACCTTGGTCAATTAAGGTAATTCGGTATCTAATTATGGCTTACTTCCAGATGAAAATGGATTTCCTTTGTTGCGACACAACTGCAAGCCAGGGACTCAAATCGACGGCGGATGCCGAAGCGCGATCGGCACTTCAGCGCCACAGGGAAATCGAGGCATATCTCGCGTCGGAAAAGGAGAGATCGAACAAGATCAAGAGGACAGCTTTGCTCGGTATGTGGCTCTCTACCTATACGTGACGTGGGAAATTCCACTAACATAGATCTTCCAGGTATCCGGGGATCAGGAAAGTCGACCGTGATGAAGCAACTGCATTATATTCACTCTAATGGCTTCTCCGAGGAAGAGCGGCGCAAAGCACGCTCTGTTATATTGATAAGCCTTCTCCGAAACTTCAAAGATTTGCTACGGAACATGGATGACGAGGGAATTACTTTCGATACAGAAATTGCCAAGGTAACTACTACTAGATTAGATCCATCGATGCCCGGCCGTGTTAATCCATGGATCTTATGATTTTGTCGCGTTGACTCACCGTTTCATAGATATCTGCCGACCTCATTGCGGAAACGGATGCGGACATGGATGTCAATGTGCATGCACTCTTCAATGGGTCTCCAGTAGATGCAGCTATTTGCGAAGCCATGAAGAACGTGCGGCATGATCCTGCAATTCGTACGATTATCTCGGATAACTGCTATGTTTATTGCCATCACAATTGGCTTTAGTAAGTGCTCTCCGTAGCTGCTTTGAATGATGATAGCAGCGCTCAAGATTTTGCTTAGCTTTTACAACGCTACCGATCGTCTCACCGCCCCCACGTGGCTCCCCAACGAGCAGGATATCATCCAAGCACAAATCGGGTCACTGAGGATCGCTGAAATCTCCTTTCACATGGATCTAATCACTTGGGAAATGATTAATATAGCTAATTTTGGAATGCAGGGGCGAAGGAAGCAACTGCACCATTTTGAAGATGTTGATTGCGTGATCTATGTCGTGCCACTTTCCGATTACGACAGACGTGTGGTCGAGGACGACACTAGTGTATGTTAACTCTACCAATTAGGTAGTAATTGTACATATTTTGCCTGTCCAGTGCTATCTGCTAATCTAGGTATAGACGGTGATGCACGAGATAATAATAGAATTCGAGTCTTCGACCTACTACAACCGATGGTTCAAGAACAAGCCTTTCATTATCCTCTTGAACAAAGTCGACGTATTCAAGGAAAAGCTCGCTGTTTCACCGCTCTCCAGATATTTTCCCGACTTCGATGGTTCGAATACGGACTTCTCGGCTGCTGCAGGCTATTTTGCTAATCGTTTCCGAGCATTGGCAACCGCTAGAGCGGGGGGCCGTCAAGTCCGCACATATTTCACAAATGCTACCGACACTGCCTCAATTAAGGCTACGATGGAAGCTATTCATAGTTCCATATTTTGAAGGGCCTCAACTCCTTCGCTCATTTACTCTACAGTGAGCTAAATTAAACAAAGAATGATGAATTCTTAGTATAGTGTTTCAGGTCCCCTCCCGGGAAACTGAATACAGAGCGGCAGGCTCTAAATACCAGTTGTATTTTCCCATTTATCAATGTAAAATTAGTACTTTCTACTCAATTCATCATCCATTAGCCTTAACATACAATAGAAGCGTTCATGCAAGTGTTCTATACTACTGCCCTGGTGATCACGTGATAGCGGCTGTTTCTCGGTTATCCGACACTTGAGTCACTTCCAATCATTCTGTCCTCAGTGTGTCTTACATTTTTTTTTTCTTATTCTAGGGAAGCCCTCGTCGACTGGACTCTCCAAATTCGAAAACTCCAATCCCGTCTATAGCTTGAAATTCTGCAATTTCGTCCGTGGGCCCGGGGAATTGTGGCATCTGGTCTCCCCTCGAGACAAACAGCTGTGCACACGATACTCGGCAAACTTTCCATTTTCGATTTGAATTTGGGTGAATAACAACGCCTTCAAAATTATATAAACCGACTTGTTCAATATGCTGATTCAGGGTTCTCTGTATCTTTGGGGCCTCCTGTACAATGTTCGTACAATCTATGGCGTCGCAGCGGTTTTATTTTTGTTACCCGTGATGGTGATTATCCTTGCACGAAATGGAAATGTTTCGACAACGCACAGGAAGCTTAAGAAAAACCATAAAAAGCAAGGAGAGTCTGCGAATAATATGGAAGATCAATATCATCCCATGTTCGGCCTCCCGGCAGATTGTGGAAATCTCGGGCTGCCACGAATCAAAGCACTCTATCTCCACCCCGTCAAGTCTTGCGCACCCATTGAGGTCGAGTCTGCTTTACTCACCAAGACTGGATTCCTCTTCGACCGATGTTTCGCATTTGCAACGGGCCCTCTTCAAAACGGACCCGACTCGACCGACAAATGGCGATTTATCAGCCAGCGCACTAAGCCTGCCATGTCCATGATTGAGACTGAAATATGGCTTCCTACACAGGGTGATCATGTCGGTCATCTGGCCGTGATGTTTCCAAGTCTAGAAACACCTACTTGGGCCGATCGACTTGAGACCCTTCTTCGCACGTGGGATCTATCCGCCATTCCCAAAGTATCATTCTCCGTACCCCTCGATGTTATCGCCGAAGGATTCGACGACTACGTAACGAAGCCGAAGACCTTTACTATTCATTCTCGTGAAGCCATGGGCCTCGACATGGGCGAGCTTCCTCGTGTCGCAGCAGCCATGCCTAAGCTGAAGAAGTTTTTAAAGATCCCTGATAACCAAGGCCTGTCGCTTTTCAGATGTACTGAAGACACCCTGGTCCGCACTGATAAAAACCTCGCACCGCTCGAGAACATCGGCACACCGGCTGTTCACGGATACACAGATCAGCAACCGCTCAACATCAACAGTCTATCATCCGTTCACGCCGTGTCTGCGCTGCTTCCCGCCGAAAATCAACCCCTGAATGCACTTCGTTTCCGGGCAAATATCTGGATCGAGAATTCTCCCGCTTACGATGAAGAGACGTGGAAGCGCTGCACCATCTTGCCAAAGGATCGTCAAGTGGATTTAAAAACTCACGCAGCCCCAACTCTTTCTGTTGTATGCCGGACTTCGCGGTGCACAATGCCCAATGTTGACCCGGAGAAAGGAGTCTTTGATACGGATAATGCGCCTCCGGGTAGGAAGAAGGGTAAGCCGCAACCAAGCACAACATTGGTACAGCACCGTACCGTTGAAGATGGAAACAAAATGGCACTCGGATACCTGGGCATGCATTGTGTTCCAGAGGATTGGTGTTTGAGAATGGCCGAGGACAATGATCAAGGCTTGTATGTTCGTGTCGGTGATGAGATTGAGGTTCTCGAACGTGGGACACATCTCTATGGATCTACGGCTGGTGATTACTAGGAGTCACCAGTTTGCAATCGCGTTGTCTTACCAATATAAAGTATAGAGTGCGGTGCTTTCTTCTAGCAGTGAGTGTATTTTCGGTCATCATGAATACTATTTCATATCGATCCCTTGTACATGAAAGTGTAAAATTGAAAATACGAGACCCTCAAGATCATCTTCTTGAGAATCGGGATTCAAAGCCAAATACTATTCCTTTATATTAGATAAAAAAAATGCAACTGATAAACAAACTTGTTTTCTCGGAAATCGTCCAGTGTCTAGGACAAGCTGCCCAGGTGGGAGTTGAAAGAAACTAAGCACGATGTCTTTTCTTGTGATTGGGTCCATAGAAGTCACTCTTCTCAATGAATCCCTCCTTTCAGCAAATGCCGTGAACTTCCAAGGTTCGCTTTATTAGTGGATGGTATCCCTCAGCCTTTGCGTTGGATATACTAGTCTTACTACTATCTAGTACTAGTAGTAGCACTAGTACAAGAAGCAAATTTCTATGGGATGGTTGACAAAAATAGACACAAAGCTGTATTGGTACCACTGTGTCAAAGAATGAAAGAGATGGTAACTATTTAAGTATCTTCTGACAAAACAAATGTTGAGAAATGAACTTTATGAAAGAAAATATCCGAATGAGCCAAGAAACCCCCCTCTCCCCCCTTTGAGCAAAAGTATAACTACTATGCCATATAATATCTCAGCCAGCGATTTCATCCGCTCATTTTCTTTTTCAAATTTCTACCATAGTTCAATCTGTTAGATTCGAAATCCAGTTAATATTCTTCAAAATGCCTCGCCGTCGCGAAGAGACACCACATCCTAGACAGGATGAAAAACGGCGACGAGATAGTTCTCCAGAACCTTCGACCGCTGAACCTTCAGCTAAGAAAGGCCGTAAAGACAAGGGCAAAAATCTTATTAGGGAGCCTCAAGGATCCCAAAAAATATCGCGAACTATGGTGACACGCAGCGCTCTTCGTCGGCCATCCCCGCTGTCGCAGGAGGTACCTGAACCTGTCGTACACAAAAGATGGCCCCGTCAAGATCCGCCCATTACCAACGTGAATGATATACCCAAAAGCTGGGAGTGGCACCCGAATGAGCCTGGCCTTGATCCAAAGTCTGTGTATCCCTAATCTCGCCCCCGTGAATAGTCTGAACTAAATTTCGTTCGCAATATAGTGATATCGATGGCCATATTGCCCGAAATCGTGAGCGTATCGAAGACGGAATTTTGCCTGCAGTCTTCGAAATACGACTGAAACAATATGAAGCGAGGAAGAAGCGGATAGATGATATTATCGCGTCAGAGCCAGCAGGCCTCGACGAGACTGTGGTGGCTCGACTGAATACTCTGAAGACTATGAAGACAATCCTCGAACGAGATGGTGATGAGAGAGAACAGCTTCCCAATATCAACGCTCTCATCAAGGCTTATAGAGCTGGCAAGCTTTCCTGGTCCTATGAAGGAAAGGTCACCTACTGGAACAAAGGGAAGTAGCTATCTCAGCCGAAAGAGTTCGAATTTGACAATTTGCTCGAGTTTCATAATAAGTATGACTCGGGGAAGGGCTTCTGGGTTGAAGGGGTAAGTATAGTATTTGTTTCCGCCCTTTATTCTTATTTCAAAATCGAAAGTAGCATTCGAGCTAACCTCTGCGGGCGTTGTCGATAGTTTTCAGGACCAGGGCCTAAACGCCTGATGGCCCATATGTCTATTCCCCCAAATCTCAAGGAAAATATATGGCCCAGTCATACGGTATGATTCAATCCCCTTGGAAGGCAAGTAAAATACCTAGGTATGATTGTACTAATTATCTTGTAATCTCCTTAGATCGTCTTCGAGCTCAGAGCTCCAGGTGTAACTGGAATATACTGGAGCATGGAATTCTTGGAGGACACCGGAGCAAGTACAATGAGTATATTCGATACCGACCTGGATCAATTGATCCAATTCAATGGAAATCCAGTACCAGTGCCTATTTGTCTAGGAGACACAGTGATTCAAACAGCAAGCGATATCCTTGTAGAAAAAGCCGTTATCGTGGAAGCTAGGGTTACGGCGGGAGAAATGAGAACTAAATGGTTTACGCTAGAGGCTATTATCAGACAGGCTCCTAAGAAGGGCGAAACGGGCTTTAGACTCAGCGGTTCATGGTGGAGGGAAGCTCTATATACTGCGTCGTTTCCAGACAGTCAGAGAAATTTAATTGCTTGCGACAATTATTGGGAGTTTCTTAAGTTGGTACCGGATGTCAACCCGGACGATGTGATACCTATTTCGCCTCCCAAAAAGGGCGATAATGTGCCCGGGAAGCCACGGGGGAATGCGTTCGATCTATTCCTCTAGTGGAAGTTCTACATGTTCCACTATCTTGACGGTACTACTACCAGTAGTAGGCTGGCTAGTGATTTCTGGCTCCAAGGCCGCTGTTTCCTCGAGTCCTGGGGCGGACACTGGTTAGATTGGGCACATACTTGGGTAGATCTTGGCTTCTCTTTCTTTTTTTGTTTACGAGCAATTACGGGTTTATTCCAAGGATGTTATATACACTGCATTCTGAATGTCAATGATATTTGAAAAATGATTCACGTGCTGCACTGGAAAGGGGCGAGAGTTCAAGCCTTAGGACCTTGCAATGATGACTGGTCGCATACTAGTACTAGCGATATGGTTTTTAGTAGTACCTTTGATACCTCGTTGCGTCGATCGGATGACATATGTTCCGAAACCACCTGTCTCTAGTTAATTGCTAAACAAATATAAACCCAGATTATTTCACGTGATAGCTTCACCGAGGAAATGCAGTGATAGGGTGCGGTCATTTTTGAGAGCCCAAAGCACGTCGATTGCGGCTATGGAGTGCCTTCTTGTTGTACTCCGAGTCCTGCCTCACTTCCCTCACCTTTCCTTACCTGCCCTGCAGTTCCGCTCTTCCTCTTCCTCTTTCCTTACCTGTCCGCATTGCGAATCACTCTCCTTCACACTCTCCTTCACACTCTCCTTCACACTCTCCTTCACACTCTCCTTCACACTCTCCTTCACACTCTCCTTCACACTCTCCTTCACACTCTCCTTCACACTCTCCTTCACACTCTCCTTCACACTCTCCTTCACACTCTCCTTCACACTCTCCTTCACACTCTCCTTCACACTCTCCTTCACACTCTCCTTCACACTCTCCTTCACACTCTCCTTCACACTCTCCTTCACACTCTCCTTCACACTCTCCTTCACACTCTCCTTCACACTCTCCTTCACACTCTCCTTCACACTCTCCTTCACACTCTCCTCTGCTCTCCTCTCTACTCTTAGTGCATTTGCTTTTCGTCCATTTAAGGTATGATTATGACCACAGCGTGGAGAAGCCATCCGCTAATTAGTTTCCCATGATCAGAAGCCTTCAAAATGGTGTACACATTATTCCCAGAGACCTTGAAGCTGATGAAAGAAGATCTCATTGAGATAATTGGCACGTCTCAGCCCGATAAGCCCGCTTCCTGTGTCACGGACGAGGAATTCGCGCTTGCACAATGGAAGAAAGAGGTCGACGACGCGGAAGCCGCTTTTCGTGATCGTCAACTGGCAGTCAGGGTAGCACTACTCCCCGAGATGACGCCACTGCCATCTCGGCCATTTTGCAGGAAGAAGAGAGAGCGCGGACTGATCGACAGGTAGCTCTACGCATCAGTGGGAACCAGGCACCCGAACATCAATCACCACCAACATTGTACCAGCAACAGATGTGCCGAGTCATCGAACGAATTGTGACTGACGATGCGAAGCCGAAGCTGAAGCGAAGAGCAGCAGATCCCTCCACGGATGAACATGAACATGGGCCCAAGCAAGCAAGTTTCGAGTGTGTTGCATGCGGCGAGCAAGGAATTTTCTTCAAGATGATCGAAGCGCCTTGCTCCCATTACTATTGCCAGGTCTGTCTCATTCAACTTTTTGAAGCTGCCTTGAGAGACGAATCACTGTTTCCGCCACGCTGCTGTCGAATTCTTATGCCTCTGGAGTCCGTCCGAACTCTCGTCGGACCCGACACATCGCGCCGAACTGAAAAAAGGATCATCGAGATCAACGACCCCTCTCGAACGTACTGCTCAAAGCAAACTTGTTCGGCTTACATCTTCTCCAGCCAGAAGCAGAACAACTGTGGCACATGCCAAGAGTGTGGGCAAAAGACCTGTCTGCTCTGCAAAAACGAATATCACCAAGGAAAGTGTGTTCAAACCCCCGATCCAATACACCAGCTAGCGGAGGTTGAGGGTTGGAAGCGCTGCTCTAGATGTAAGCACCTTGTGGAGCTGGACACGGGCTGCAATCACATAACGTAAGTTCAAGTTCTTTGACTAATTGTTTTGGAATATGTGTACTGATGTTGATTCTTTCTTGAAAGCTGTCGGTGCAGATATGAGTTTTGCTACGTGTGTAGCAAGAGATGGCGAACATGCCGTTGTTTGCTTTGGGATGAGCGTCGTTTGCTTGAACGCGCAAACCAAATCGCAGCTCGAATTAATCCGATACTCCCGGCTGCCGCCGTGAACGACGTGGTGGAGGCACTCCAAGGGGGCAATGAGTGTGATCACCAGCGCATGAAGTCCGTGAGTGGGGAGTTTGAGTGCGAGGGTTGCAACGAAGACTTAGCCGTATTCATATACGAATGTCGCAATTGCCAAATCCACCTTTGCAAACGTTGCAGACGGAATCGTGCCTGAACCTATGTTTCTGAAAATCGAAGAATCCTGCCATGTGTGGCTAATGCGGTTGATGCGGTCAGATATCTCGATTCTAAGTACGACGTCTATGTATGTTGAACTTATGATAGCCAAAATTTATCTTATGAATCAATGATATTATTATTATTATTATTATTATTATATCCTACGATACCCTGAACTGTTAAGATCAAATTTGGAAGCAATTCAATGTGTAGGTAGTAGAATACCAGTAGCTTCACGCACTCGCGGGGAAAAGGAAGAACTGCACCTGATGTCATACTTCGTGAATCGATGCCTCAGGCTGCCAGGAACAAGAATACTGTAAATAGACCCACAAGTGATGAGTCGAGACCCAATTGACAAATGATTTTAGATTTACACACTTTTCGACGGGGATCTTGGTTACTATTAGCGCGTGGGTCCCTTTCAATAGTCTCCCGATTGTCAGGAATCTTGCAAGGAAATGGAACCTGAAGGAATATATCTCCACAGCCTCGGAACAAAGAAATCAAAATGAGATCAGAAAATGCTCCACTCACGGCGCGTCGCCCTGACCCATTGCATCATCGTCTCTCCAACTCCCTGATCTCGTGCATCCACTGCAGGCTTCAACGATCGCCCCATCGATCGGTCGATCCAGCTACGATGGAAATTTGCGAAGACGCTGATCCTTTATTTTTGCTTGACATGAAATACTATTCATTCGTCCCCAATTTCAGCCCAACCATGGATAGCCTTTGATAAACGTTTCCTGGCCAGCTCCTGTCAGAATCTAGGGCATAGCGAAGCGATCATCCTGCATTCTTAAAAGGCTCTTTGCCCGGGGATTTTCTCTTGGGGTCCATCTTGAACTTGAAGTTGAACTTTTGCGCATCGTCACTATGGAGATCCCTGACATTCCCGACAATCGCCCACACAAGTCCCCTTCAGTGCTGTCGTACTCGCCGACCATCGTCCTTGACGGCGCGACAGACTATGGGTTTGGATCGCAACCCAAAGACAGTGACAGCAGCAGCATGTACCAGGATATGCGCAAAGCTCCGCCGGTAGAGACGCCGCAAGACATGAGCCAGGAAATCAGCCAGGATCTCAGGACGCCAGAGCCACAAGAAAAGCCGAAGGAAGTGGACGCGATGCCGAATGGCAGAGAACAGTGAGACAAGATCTGCAATGTAAACTTGCAGGAACCCGCCGCTAATCTAATGGCGCAGTCCTCCCCACCCAGCGGCGACGGCGACGAGTACGACGAGGATGAGATTCGCTCCAAGCCTTCGCTCAAAACCCTTCGCCGAAATTTCACACTCAACGATCTCCCCTTGCTCCAAGCGACAAATCCGTACGATGGTTCTGAGCAATTCAATCCGGTCAACGAGGAGGATGGGGACACATTTGACTTGGTCGCTCCATGGGAGGGCGACGCGGCCCCACTGCACTCTCTGGAGCGCCAAGCGGATACAATGTTCTCGCCCGATCATATGCTAACCATCCTACGAAATCCGCGCTATTTGGCGCGTTTTCGCAATTTCTTGGTCTCCGAGCGCCCGAGGTCTATTCCTACATTGACATATTATCTCAATGCTTGCAAAGCGCTGAAAGCAATCCAATATGCGAATGCGCTGGTACGATTGTCGGTAGATGTGCCGACGGCGGGAATTGAGCAGGCTGAAGAACCTGTTGGCTTAACTACAAACACAGCACTCGAAGCCCGTGTTCAGGATGCGCTGAATGCTCTGACTGCAGAGGAGCTGCCCGCATTTATCACAGCGACATGTATCAACATCACAAGTAAGGTTGTCGAGGAGCGCGTGCGAGGAACCTTACCCGACAAGTTCCAGGGAACGTCAGACGCCCTGGCGGAAGTGTTCTGTTTAACAGATCCCTCACGCCCCGATAACCCAATTATATTTTCATCAGGAGGTAAGTAATTGACTACCTTGAGTATTGGCGAGAAATTTTCATATTAACACCTGCTTAGAATTCCACCGCACCACGCAATACGGCATGGACTACGTCCTTGGACGAAATTGTCGTTTCTTGCAAGGTCCCAAGACAAACCCCAACAGTGTTCGACGCATTCGTGAAGGAATCAAGTCAGGTCGACACCACTCAGAATTGTTTCTTAATTAGTAGGTCAATTGCCCCTCTACTTTCTCAGCCTACAAACTAACGCATGTCAAAAGCCGCCGCGATGGCTCGCCATTCATGAATCTGCTTCAATGCGCACCACTTTGCGACAGCCAAGGAAAGATCCGTTACTTCATTGGCGCTCAAATCGACGTTTCAGGCTTAGCGATGGATGGCGCGCAAATGGAATCACTCCAAGACCTGCAGGACCGAAAAACTTCCGAAGAGCAGGAAGAAGAAGCCTCTCAGCGAGATGATGTATCGCACCTCAAACCGAAGCCAAAAACCGAATTCCAAGAACTGGGAGAACTTTTCAGTCCACGCGAGCTGCAGAATGTACACGATTACGGAGGCAATCTTTTCCACCCCGTGGCCGACCGACTCAATCCAAAGAACAGCCGCCTGTGGATCCAAAGCCCCGAGGGCGAGAGCGAGCCTCGATTAGGGGTCCCTTCATCTGTTCCCAATGGTGGGGGCTCTTTGACTGGCGTCTACAAACATGTAAGTATTTTCGCAGGCCCAGCCTCTTTCAGACTTGCTAATCTTATTTGGTATAGTATCTTCTTGTCCGACCTTACCCATCACTCCGCATTCTCTTCACATCGCCGTCCCTTCAGATTCCTGGTATGCTTCAGTCGTCATTCCTATCACGTATCGGGGACTCAGGACCCAAGCGTGATAGCATTCTCCACGCTATGATGGCCGGCCGTAGCGTCACAGCTCGGATCAAGTGGGTGACCCGCTTCAGCGATCATGGCCGACATCGCTGGATCCATTGCACGCCATTGTTGGCCAATAATGGAGAAGTGGGAGTGTGGATGGTGGTGGTAATCGATGACGAAGATGAAAGTATGGTGCGATGGAGTGGAAATTGGCCAAGTGCCTAATGTTTGACGAAAACTTGACTTTCTTGTATATACTTAACTTATTGGATATGGCTTTTTAATTCGTTCATGTGGCGTCGCGGTACTAGTAAGTTGTAACAGTGAGCATCGTAGCAAAATCCCGATGTTTGCAAGTCTCATCCCAATCACCTGAGCACGAAATGCTGCATTTACTCGTCCCTGTCAGAGATTCTTGATACCTACCTAGGTATACCCACATCTTGCCAGAGTTTGTTGCTTAGTCCAGGTCATGGTAATGATATGCATATGTGCGGATATCTGGATTTTCGATGGTTGAGAAGGTATTATAAAGTAGTTTAGCTGATGGATTAGGTTGTAGCGGTCTACTCGGTCTGTAAGACAAGGGAGGAGAAGATGATGTCCTATTCTTCTCTTCAGGAAGGAGATATCGTCCTCCGTCATCACGCGGATGACGGACGGATCGCGAAGACTAGATAACTAAGGCGCCTAACTGCCCAGGTGCGCATGACATAGGTCCTCGTATTCAATAATTTGATCGGCCTAACCGTTGTCCCGAGGAAAGTGCACCACTTGCAATTGGATTCCTAGATCTACACTCTAAGTACTCACTTGAAAATTTGACAGTACAGGTACTAAAAGGCTCCACGAACGGACTCGGGCTAAATCGAATGCCGTTCAGGCATTTTACTCTATGACGGGGTTAACATGGGCACCTGACTATCTCCGAGATGTTCCCCTCCGGTTATAAATTGGACCCCAGCTCTTCAGGAATTCCTCTTGCGTCAAACAAATAGTTTTTTTCTTTCTTTTTATTTCCACCTCATGGCCTCTCCATCCCTCAAATATACTTCCAAACTTGTCGGCCAGCGTGTTCTGGTTTTTGGAGGCACCTCCGGCATTGGATTCAGTGTCGCCGAAGCAGCCTTTGAGCACGGCGCCCACCTCGTCATTTCCAGCTCCAATCAAAGCAAGCTCGACAAAACAATTTCTAGGCTAAAAGCGGCCTATCCCGCCCAAAGTGAAAAACAAACCATCACTACTCGTGTGTGCGACCTGGCCGATGCCGCAAATCTCGATGCCAACATCCAGTCTCTTTTCGAAACAGCCACCAACGGCGGCACCGTTAAGCTGAACCATGTTGCTTTTACCGCAGGCGACATGCTTAGTCGACCTTCTCTGGAAGACCTGACCCCCGATGTCATCTATAGCGGCATGAATGTCCGTTTCGTCGCCCCGGCCGTGATGGCCAAATATATCCACAAATACGTGGAGCTCTCCCCGGCTAGCTCTTTCACTATCACTAGTGGTGTTCGCAGTAAAAAGCCTGCGCCGGGCTGGACTATGGCTACTGCTATTGGCTCTGCTGCTGAAGGTCTTGCTCGTGGTCTGGCTATGGATCTTAAGCCTATCCGGGTGAACGCTGTGTCTCCTGGTGCGGTGCACACGGAACTTTTCTCTCTGTTCCCCAATCTCGATGCTGCTCTGGAAAATTTTCGACAGGCATCGACCACCGGAACAGTTGGTAAACCGGAAGATCTGGCGGAGAGCTATATCTATTTGATGAAAGACCAGTTCGTGACTGGTACCGTGATCGAGTCCAATGGCGGTTGTCTACTCGTTTGAATGACCATATATATCAATTCTCAAAGTTTAATCCATTCCTCGCCAGAATTATATTGGATGTCTGATTCATTAAATATTTCAATAGCAAAAAAGGTGTAATACTAGTATGTTATAGCCTACTTACACCCAGTGGTAGTACTAGTATAGACGCTCGGGCCCTTCAAATGTCATTAGGTAATCGTTCTTTAAATCCGATAACTTCGGCCCGCCACGTCAGAGTCCGCACGGCGAGCTCTTTGGCTCCTGCTGCCGCGCTGGTCGAGGTGGGCAGTCCACAGGCTTTGAAAGAACGAACAGTCGCCAACGCATATACTACCATATACTCTACAGGAGCTTGTCAGAGCCCACCAACGCCATCATGCAGGGCTTCAGTAAGTACCAGATCGGCCCAACACGAAGAAAGCTGAGAGCTAACCTAGTCTACAGATATGGGACGGTCAGTCACAAAAGGAGAATAAGCGCAAATAACCCCCCTCACTAACGCGATCACAGATACGTCCCCCCGGACCAAGAAGGCATTACCTCCGGAAATAAACTTGCCGGCAAGCACCCACTCGGCGCGCGCGCCCGCCACCTCCACACAACCGGCGCACTGATCGTTCGATTCGAGATGCCATTCGCGGTATGGTGCACAACCTGCAAGCCAAATGAGACTATAATCGGACAAGGCGTGCGCTTCAATGCGGAGAAGAAAAAAGTCGGCAACTACCATTCGACGCCGGTGTACAGCTTTCGCATGAAACACACCGTCTGCGGTGGGTGGATTGAGATTCGGACCGATCCGCAAAACACCGCATATGTGGTTGTGGAGGGTGGGAGGAAGCGTGATACCGGCGACGATAAAGAGGCGCAGCCTGGTGAGATCGTTATTCGGCCGTGGGGTCTGGGCGAGCAGGACCCTGCCGAGAAAGATCCGTTTGCGAAACTTGAGGGGAAGGTTGAGGATAAACAGCGCGCGCAGACTGAGTCGAGGCGGATTTTGGAGCTGCAGGAGCGCCAGAATAGGGATTGGGAGGATCCTTATGAGAAATCGAGACGGCTGCGACGCTCGTTCCGGACTGAACGGAAGGGCCTGGAAAAGGCGGCGGCGAATCGAGCGGCGCTGCAGGACAAAATGAGTCTGGGGATTGAACTTGTTGATGAAACTGAAGCAGATCGCCAACGGGCTGGGCTGGTTGATTTCGGTGATGATCGCTCTGATATCGGGGCGGCTGCTCTTCGAGCAACCAGAACTCGCCCGATGTTTGAGACATCTGTTCCCGAGAAATCGACCGAGGTCAAATCGCAGAAAGCTAAACGCAGCTCCCGGGAAACGAAGGCTGGTAGATTGGCTGCACAGCACAAAGCTTCCCTACGCCATGAGTTAAGTGGAAATACACGTGCTGTCGTGGATCCTTTTCTGAGCGATATCGGTGCGGAGGAAGACGTCTGGAAACCGGGTGTGAAGAGGAGGAAGACCGCGAGCAGCACTCCCGGCTCCCAAAGAATCATAAACTTATCTTCCAAAACTGAAGAACGTGACCATACGCCAAAGTCAGAGACTGGTTCAATCACGCCTGGGGCCGACTCGCCAGGCATGGGCATTAGCGAGGATGCTCCCTCTAAGACGGCACTTCCAATGCTTGTTGGATACACGTCTGACTCGGAATGAAACAAAAGTATATAAGACTTGATTGGTTTCTTATCGTTTGATACCCTGGGGGCGTTTACTTTGATTAGAATGAAATACAACGCATTTGATGCTTAGACAACAGTATAGACTTAATAATAACTCAATGTTCTTCATTACATGGGGTATCTCATTTTCATCTTCATTTAGCCCAGGGGGGCCTTTGTAGGGCCATCTCCACCATGCGGGGCTGGGGGCTGTGGGTTTGCCCAGGGGGCCCGAGTGGGAGCCATAGGGCCCGGAGGTAGTCGAGAAGTATCTGGAAGAGCTGTTGTGCTGGGGCCAGCTGTCGGCGGACCGTCTCTCCTTGTTGCTGCCCAGGGTGCCGCTGTCGGCCCCATTGGAGGGACCCGGGATCCAGCCCCTGCTGTTGCCCATGGCGCTTTCGTTCCGCTGTCTGCACTTGGTCGGGCCGTTGCGGATGTCGGTGGCCCGGCATCTGGTATAACAGGCCGTCCCTGTGGACCGGAGGTCGCATGTACAGTAGCTGGAGAAGCGACGGCATAAGGATCGCGATCCCAGCTGAAAAGGGAACCGAATGGGAAATGCTGTACCACGGGGTACTTGGATAGAACCTCTGCGTTCCACATCTTGATCATTCCCTAGTTATCAATGTCAGTTTCAAGCTGCATGGCAAGAATCGAATTTATATGAAACTTACCTTGTTGATTTTGCCCCAGCCAGCCCGAATGCCTGATATGTCGTAAAGCATGGGACTGTGTTCCCAGAATGGACCTTTCTTCACATCATAAATAAATCCAATGGCAGAAAAGTACATGTTAGTCTTTCTCTCTCGCTCCACGATGTTTTGTTTGACCACGCCAGCTGGGTCGGGAGCATCCGGTAGCGAATCCTCCTCGGGGGTTAAATCAGTCTCATTGATAGCCGGGGATAGTTGAGCAGATCCGAATATGTAAGGGAGAAAGGCGTGGTCGTCGAGGCCCCATACTCCGTGAGAGCCGGCAGGTTCGAGAGTATATGTTTTTATGAGCAGTCTCACAAGTTCCAGATATCTAACATTAGTGTAAGGGGGTATTCATGAGTTGGTAGTTTGTAGCGTGGACATACGGTTCAATCACGCCGAGCACAATAGCTCTCTCTTCAACTCCTGGGCTGGACTTGGGAAAACCATTGAGCTTCCAAATGGACCCCAAAAATGCTAAGAAGCTGAGTTCATGCCCCGTGCCGTAATCTAGTCTCTGTCCACTTCCCCAGCTTCCCAGGAAATAGGCTTTGAGCTCGGCCTCCGCAGTGACGCCATCCGCATCCGACGAAGGTCTCTCCAAGATCTCCGCGGGTAGACATTCTTTGAGCAAAGAAGACGCCCGCTCTTCCAGGACCTCGTGCCATTTTCTGAAGCTGATGTTTCCGAATCTGCGCGGGCCGCTGTCCGGTGGGACTTCCTGTATAAGGTCTTCGAGTTTCGAGAGCAGCTCTTGCAATTGTCGGACAGGTGCAGAGAATTGCACTTCGTCGGTATTCAACGGCCATGGTTGTGAAGTCCCGTCGGCAAGTTTTTCCGGAAACATCGACCTATTGAGCTGCAGGGCGAAAGTCATGATATCCGTATAGCCCTTCGAGGTCAAGAAAGGCGCAACATCCTGCGACTCGTGGATTTTCTTAACGGGCTTCAGAAAGTTGTGCGATGCCGAGGAGTCGAGCGTCGGTAGAACGCGAACAGCGCGGCCCTCCGGGTTCATTTTGATGGGTGTGGTGGTAGAAACGTAGACGACTTATCGTAGGAAAGCTGTGGAGGGGAAGTGGGATGACGACCGCGGGCACAGAATGGGCTCCACCCAAGCTAAGCTCCTTCACTTCCGCTCCGCTCCCGCCTCCACCGCACGTCGCATGTCGCAACGCGAATCACGAAACTCAGTGGCGATCCCCACTGCCCCTTGCAATCATGGCGCCGAGCCGGAAAAGAAAAGCGCGCTTCTCCACAAATACATCCCTCGATTTACTCAATAATGTCTCCTCCACAACTCCGGCTAACAGGAGACACACTGCGCGACACGACAGTGTCTACGATATCCCCATCTCGCCCGAACGACGAAAGCCTTCCCGCAAAAGCGAACCTCCTCTATTAAAGAGACCTCGTACCCGTCAGAACAAAAGCACTCCGACCCCCGAACCGGCTGATACCCTTGAGCCCAATCGCGAACCGGAGAGCGTTGAAGAAGCGGAGGCAGAGCAGCCGTCATCCGACGCGGACGACTACCAAGATGCTGAGTTGAACTTATTTTCGGCTGATGAAGAGGGGGAAGAAAAGGATAGTCGTGCAGATGATCCTCGACCCGAAGGAACCGGGGAGCTCTTCGAACATTGGGAAGACAATGGCGATGAGGGCCAGGAAAACGAAGCTGAAAGAGAAATGGAGGCAGAAGGCATCACAGAAAATACCGACACTATGCCAAGGCAAGACAACGCAGAAGATACCGCATATTCCGATCAGAACGAAGAGGGCCCAAATGACGATTATTCGATCCAGTCTCAGGGTTCTCGTCAACTTATGCCATTACGAAACAACGTTGAGATAGTGATCGACAATAGTCCATCGGCCCGTAGCTATCTATCCCATGGGTTTGCTGAGACTATTCATGATGAGACTATTCATGATGAGACTATTCATGATGAGACTATTCATGATGAGACTATTCATGATGAGACTATTCATGATGCTGATTATCAAGACTTTGAATCCCAGAAACAACTGGCCAAGCGAGTATCAGACAACCGGAAAAAAGAAACCGATCCAAATATACAACTTATTCGTGATCTCCGCCACTGGTTTGGCCGGGAAATCGGGAAAACCAGTGTGGGTCCTGGCTGGAACAAGCTCAATGAAAAAGGACGAGGCTTGAAAGCATATGCCATATCGCCACGGCCGAAATATCTAGAATTTCTCTACCAGCTTTTCGCTGAGTATCGAACTCTCTACAAGGAAGCTATAGAACATGGAGGTGTCACCGAGCGTCTCGGGAAACAGCTCCAGAATATCAAAGAATCCATTGTGACAGAAGTCAGGCAGCTCTTCGAGCATGCATCGGAGATGCTCCAAGAATCCAGTGTGCTGGATCAGTTTGAAGCGCATTTTATACCGAAAATGGTCATCCTGACCCAACTTGGGTTCCGGGTATACCGAATGACAGATGGGCGGGCCCATGACCAACTCCGTCACGCATTAGATCTGATGTCGGTATGCATAGGTCTAATCAAACAATACATGGGACTGCTTTCACCAATTTACCGATCTTTCTCCCTTGCTCAGCCACTCCAGCGTGTTATCAAAGCCTTGGAAAATGGTCAGCTGAGGGACCACTCGCCCGTTGAGACCAACGACCAGCACCATTGGGCCGATATCCCACCTGTTACTCATCGTTGGACTGTGAATGAGGAACGAGTGTTGAGATATGGGATGGTTAAATATGTTGATGACGGTCAGTATCCCCCCCCCCCCCCCATTCTTCCCATCCCATCCGTGAAAACATTCTGACCCTAAAAACTAGAGAACCCTTTTCTTCAAATTGCCACACATTGGGGGCATAAACTTCCTGGGCGGAGTATGAGAGACATGGAAGGCAAAGCCAGAGAGATGGGGCTCTTATGACATGAAAACTTGTGGTATCTTTTTATTTTTGATCATTCGATGCGTTATACCCATATGACCTTAAAGTGGTTCAAAGTTCAAGTTCGGTTCCGGCGGATCGGGCTGGCCTGCGAACCACGGATTGCCTTTGTTTTGGTCAACGCGTGCACTTCAGGGGTTAGGTTACCTAGAACTACTGAGTAGAATTCATCATAATTTTGACTTGCTGTGGGCGTTCCTGCGCGTCCGGGGACAAAGTTTAGAATATAATAATGATCGACATAGCATTGCCAGCGGTTCAAGTTGGTGTAGGTACTCCTAACAGCATGGACAAGCTATCGACTCACCGCTACCTAAATACGGGGTACCAGCAAACCGCCTTTCAATATTCGGAGTAGATTGAGAAGAGTACATACCAGAGTAGCCTACCAATACATGACTCCGTAGATTATCCAAAGACGCTGTGGTTCATCCGATTTCGGTTAGACTACGCGTTGAAGCAGCGGCGATCATCCCCCTCCTCCCTCCTCCTTCCTCCTCCCCGTTTCTCTCCACCGCTTTGCTCCCGCCTCCTATTCTCTGCTCTCCTCAAACTTTTGCGCCATACCACGACCTCTGCATTTAACCTTGATTCTGTGGTCGCCTACTTGGCTGATTCTCAGAATTCGTGCTCAGGCTTCATTTTGTCCTCTCATCCAAATTCCTGAAGCTCCTGGAACAGCTCTATACGCGCCGCGTAAGTACCATATTTCTTTTGAACACAGACCAGCGGACAATCTCTAGGCATTGGGTGCTTTCTGCACGGTCTCTAGCCATCTGAGCCTCTACAATGTTTCATTCAAAGCAATCAAAGCCCCTACAATCTACATTTGCCGGATCTTTCATCCCGAGAAGGCTTTGGCTACAACCCAGAGGCATTAAACAGGTCATGCTGTGGACGATGGTGTTGGGCCTCAAAGCATGCAGCTTGCAGCTCTTCCTCGGCCTAACATATGCCTCAACCTTCGAGGATGGCCGCGTTCCTACTCCAGTGCCTACCTCAGTGCCTACCTCGGAGTTGACCTCAGTACCTGCTGGGAGGTACTAAAGTTGAATACAATTCACCATCCATCACCAATTTTACTACACTCATACCAGAACTATTGGATGGAAACTGCCCACCTGTGCCTGAGTCATTCAGTGGTTCTTATGCTAATCTGTTCATGACATCTCTATAGGCCCCTTTTTCCAATAGAGAATCCGTTACCACGCTGAATCTACATACTTCCTACACTGCAATTGTACCAATTGACCCCGACGATGGCATCCACGGAAGAGCCTATCCCCACTTCCTCCGAGGTTGAGGTTGAAGTCGATGCCGAGGTCGCGCCTCCGGCCACCCCGGTCGACTCAACCCTTCTGTCGGGGGTGAGGAAGTCAAGTCGAGCCCCGAGGCCTCCAAGGAAAACATCCCAGCTTCTCCTTCTCCCGCCAAAAGTGGCACTGGTGCTGCAGCTACCGCTAAGCGTCCGGTCTCGAGCTCGACTGCCTCTAAACGTCCCACCTCGTCCTCCACCACTGCATCGTCGAGACCTACAACTTCGGCCACACGTGGCACCACGAGCAGCACACTAAACAAACCTCCCACTCGTCCTTCAACCACTACATCCGCAACACGCAAGCCTTTGAGCACTTCGACGACCTCTTCCCATCGGTCTCGCGCCTCGGTTAGTAGCTCCGCCGACGAGAAGCGTTCAGTCGCCAGCTCCGGAGATGAGAAGAGAGGCATCTCGAGCACTGCAAAGCGTATGTCGATGGCTGGTACGGCATCCACGCGTACTCCCTTGAAGACTTCTTCAACTCTCGACCGCAGATCGAGCGTTGCTGGCTCAGTTCTGGACAGAAAACCCGCAAGCTCTACCACGCGGACCGGCACCTCGACCTCGGCCTCGACCAGCAAGCCCGTTGGAAAGCTCACATCCGCGACTTCCACCACCCGCACAACCCCTTCATCCACAACTGCCACTCGGACTACCACGCGACCTACCCCCACCGCCTCTACCGCGCGATCTGTCGCATCCTCGGCCACAGACCCGAAGAAGCGTATCAGCACAATTGGCACTTCAACTGCTAGAAGTGCTGGTACCGATGAGAAGCTCCAAGCTCTCCAGACAAAGCTGTCTGAGAGCGAAGAGACTGTCAACAAGCTCAAGGCCGAGCTTGAGACCGTGAATGAGAAGTTGGGCCAGCTGTCAATCTCGGATGAACAGGCTGCTGATAACAGTACCGACGCTGAGGCGATCCGGGCTGAGCACACCGCAGAGCTTGAAAAGCTCGCTTCGTCGCACGCTGAAGAACTTCAGGCCCTTCAAACCCGACTCGAGGATGCGGAAAGCCAGCGCAAGGAATTGGAAGAGCGGTCCCAGCAGCAGCTTGAGGAAGCCAAGCAGTCTGCCGCTGCTTCTGGTGACGACAAAACTGCCGCTGCGCTAGAAGAATTGAAGGAAACTCACAAGGCCCAGCTTGAAACTCTCGAGAAGGAGCTCGCTGACCACAAGGCTGCCGCTTCTACCTTTGAAGAGCAGATTGACGCTTTGAGGGCTGAAATTGATTCCGAAAGGGCACTGCGTGAAGAAGAGAAGGTTCAGTCCCGCCTTAATGTTGAGCGTGAGCTGAAGGGATCCAGCCAGGTCATTGAGAATCTTGAAACGGAGCTCCAAAAATTGTCTGCCTCCAACAAAGAAACTGCGGCTGCAAAGGAAGCCGTCGACGCGTCTGTTGCTCAGATGCAAGAGCAAATATCTTCTCTAGAAGTGAAGCTCGCTGAGGCCGAATCCTCTACCCAGGAGAGCTCAGAGCAGACTACTAGTTCCCTTGCTGAGAAGGACCAGCAAATTGCTAAAATGAAACAGGTTCTTGAAAAGGCACAGGCTGAGCTTGAGGAAGCAGGCGAAGCCGCTGCGAAGGTTGAGGAGCTAGAGTCTACCCATCAGGCCATGGTTGCCAGCCTGAAGTCTGAGCACGAAACTGCTTTGAGCTCCCTCTCAGCATCGCATGCGGAGGAACTCACCGTCGCTAAGGCCGCGGCTGAGTCGACTGGCACCGAGCACTCGCAACAGCTCGAGGAGCTGCGTGCTTCTCTAGATGCTGCCAAGGCGGCTAGTCAGGGAGACCACGATCTTGCTATCTCTGAGCTCAAGACCGCGCATGAGACAGAAATCAATGCCCTTCGGGTGAAACTCGCCGCGTCTGAAACGGCTCTTGCTGATTCTCGTCGGGCTCTTGACGAGGGTAACGTTCATGCCCAGGAGGATGCTGTTCACGAGATCGAGACCCTTCGCCAGAAGGTTGAATCTCTTGAAACACAGCTATCCACTGGAACTGGTGAGATCAGAGCCCTGCAACAGGAGGTGCAGAGCAAGCAAACTGAGGCCGAGGAGCTCTACCACAGCTTGAAGAACCTCGAGGGCGAGGCAAAGTCCAACGATGTTCAGAAAGAAACCAAGCTTAAGGAGCAGGATGAAAAGCTGAAGGCTTTGGAAGATAAGGCTTCCGATGCAACTGCCCAACTTGCCGCTGCCATAGAGAAGCATGCTCAGGAACTGCAGGCTGTGAAGAGCGAGCATGCCGCTGAGCTGGAGCGGGCCAACCAGGAAGCTTCGGGGTCCCGCGAGGGTGCTTTGAGCGAACTTCAGCAGAAGCACGACGACCTGTTTGCTAAGAACCAGGATCTGGAATCTAGCCATGCTACTCGCGTCGAGTCCCTTGAGGCTGAATTGAAGTCAACTCTGGAGCGCCACGCTGGAGAAATCGCGACTCATACTGAGGCTCGGGAGAGCGATCAGAAGCTTCTGCAACAGGCCCAGGAGGCACATGCTAATCTGCAGGCCGAGTTTGAGGCCCTACAAGCTGCCGGCCAGACTGACAAGGAGACGCACGCTAAGGAGATTTCTGAGCTCCAAAAGGGATTTGAGGAAACCAAGGTGAAGTTTCAGGCCGAGCTTGAGTCCTCTCAGGTCTCCAAGGCTGCTGATGCCGATGCCGAGCACGGAAAGGCGATTGAGGAACTTCTCACTCTCCAGGAGACTAAAGTTGCCGGTCTGAGAGAGCAACTTGAGGCATCAAACAAGGCCAACATTGAGGAACTCCAGAAGTCACACGATGCCGCCCTGACAGCAGCCAACGAGCAGCTTTCTCAGGCCAAGTCCGCCGCGGCGGATACCTCTGCCCTCGATACCTTGAAGGCGACCATCGCGGAGCTTGAGCAGAAGCTGGTGGATTCCGAGAAGGCCCACTTGGCAGTCCAGGCATCGGCGACTACTGCTTCTCGCGATCTTGAGAACAAGCACGCTACCGAGCTTTCTAAAATCCAGACCGAACATGCAGCACTTGCTGAGAAGCATCAGGTGGCCACCTCTCAAGTTGAGGAACTACAGAAGTCCGTTGCCGCATCCAGCAGCAACAAGTCTGAGCTGGAATCCATCATGGCTCAGCTCTCCCAGTCCCAGGCGGAAATTGATTCGCTCAAGACTAAGCACACCGCCACAAGCCAGGAACTCGAGGAAGTCCGCGTTCAGAACAAGACCATGGAGGAGAAACTTGCTTCTGGCGAGCGCGACTTGAACGACCAAATTGACAAGAACATGTCTCTTCTCAACCAACTCGGTGACATTGAGAGTCATATCTCCAGTAGTCGTCGACGTGTCCGTGAGCTCGAGGCCGAGCTCGCCGCTCTGAAGACTGACAAAGACAACGACAAGAGCACTTCATCCGGCCTGAATGCTAGCCGATGGGCATCGGCAGAGGAGGGTAGCGAGAACGCTGAGGAGGGGGGTCCAGCCGCAACGGAAGGTGAGGACCTTGGCCCATCCATCGAGGGAACGGTGGGAAATCCCCGTTTGAAGTCTTCATACTCCTCAGATCTGCCCGCATTCCATCCATTTACATGAGGTTTTAATTTGATTCCGTACATAAACTAATCAGCTTCTGTAGATGGCAAGCATTCAGGAACAGCTTAAGCATATCCGATACGCGAATGACGAGTGGTACGATGAGCATCGCAAGTTAGTACCTGCATACCTACATATCTACCTATCCAGGTAGATACCTATCACTGGGCGTGCTAACAATATATCCCTTGCAGACTCATCGGAGAATTGGCCCAGCTCTCCCGCCGAGCTACCCCCGACACCCGCAGTCTCTCGTCAACCCCCCACCCAGAAACGGCAGTTTCAGTTCAAGAATCAGAAAGCAGCCGCAGTCGTTCCGATACTCCTGCTGCTCGGTAGAAGTATTTGGGATGGTCGTGGCTGCCAGACCGCTTGCTTGCCAGAGGGTGTGAATCCCTTGCAGGACAGCATGATTTCCCTTTGTTAGATCCATTTCGCTCGTTCCTCGTCTTGGCTCGTTGTATGTAATAGGACCCAGGATACCCTGCTTCTGTTGGAGCCGTGCGGCTTTTATGTCACATACGTTTATTGTTTAATGCTATCACCTCGTCTGTTTCTACGGATGAGTTGCTACGTGTATATGTACATACTCCACTCTTACAACATAGGATTATTACTTCTGTGGAGTGAACATTGGACACCACTACTCGCACTTAAAGTAGTAGTAATCGTTAATTGACTAGCATCTCGAGCACTGCAAAGCGTACCTAGGTATGTCGTTGGCTAGTACAACATCTATACGTACTCCCCAGAAGACTTCTTCAACTCTCAACCGCAGATCGAGTGTCGTTGACTCAGTTCAAGTCCTGGACACCTGGTCAGAAACCTCGGAAGCCCGCACGCCCGTTAGAAAGCTTCAAGTTACCTAGGTACATCCGCGACCTCCATCACCCGCACAGCCCCTTCATCCACAACTGCCACTCGGAATAGGTACGCAGCCTACCTCCACCGCCTCTACCACCTTGACGCGGTCTGTCGCATCCTCGGCCTACCTAGGAAGTCCTCGCCAGTGTTCAAGCTCGAACCTCGCTACGTCCATCATGGTGATATATTTTCAAGGTTGTGATGTCGACGTCTGCCAGAGTTCGGACCTAGTATATGGCATCAGCTGAGGGACCCTTGAACTACTCAAGCGGCTGAGGATCTTGATACGTTCAGAGCCATGACATCGCCAAAGTCTGGATTCTCGGAACGAGCAAACAAACTAGTTCCGCAACTGGTGCAAAAATAGTGCGGAAACAGCTTGCTTCCGAAGCGATATTCCTAGAGCGAAACAATTATCATCCATTGCTTTTGTCGCTGTTCGTCTCGGAGTCCCAATACCTTGACATCGTCATCCCTGTAATGGCGTTTCACATCAGCCGTTTGGGGATAGACCATCAGATAGCCATTGATAGTGCAGATAGAGCCTGCTCATATAAGCATACAATTAGTTCTTTTTTTTAACTCTCGTCAACCTTAGAAATCGGCTGTAGGGTATTCAAAGGAACCGGATGTATACAATTGCATTGTGTCACGGACTGCTCCGAGATGGGTGGTGATATCTGCACTGTGAACTTGACTTGTCCGCAGTGACAGCTGCCATCATAGGACTGGGATTTTGCGGTTTCTTCTGACATTTTGTGTTCAAGCTCCATCTGATATAGCGAGTCAAGTTCGGAATAGTAAAATCATGTCAGATTATTCCGTTGGGAGTCCTAGCTCATATATGTCTGATTGCCAAGCCTTTATCTCGTATTCAAAATTGAAGGTTTGATACTAGTAGTACTAGATCAGCTTCTATTTTTGTCGGGAAGTTTCCCAACACCACGTACTTTTTAAGGGCCTATAAAACAACATAGAGGCTAGTACTACATCATAACAGCTTTGTAGACTATACCAGCACAATCTACAACTTGAAGACTTTAACAACTCCGAAAATTTCCTAGTGAGACATTACTTTAGAGGTACACCGCTCAACATGAGAATTAGACTTGACTACTACTAGTAGGTTCCATGCATTCTGCTGACATCCTATCTATTCCTGGATTCTCACCACTTGGAGGCTTTAAGTGCATATGAGCGTTGGAGTGCGTGCTGGCTCCACATAAGAAAGATCCGCCGTTATTCGCCTTGGAATGCGGAATTGCATTCGCCATTCAGCTTATCCAAAATCCCTTCTCCTCCGGAAGCCTATAAAAAGAATGGGCTGCTGAGGGCTCTGGAGCCAACACATTAACGGATGGTCACGGCCCGTATTATCTGACTTGCAAACGCCGACTACTCTTTTAGGGAAATGGTATCGCCTTTGTCACCCTCGAGGGCGGATAAGTTACCCTGAATATGACCTCGGGGGTTAAGAACGGTTGACGGCCCATCCGTCGGTTGCGGCCCCTTAAGGCGCAGATCCGTTTGAACATATAGTGTCTCAACTTGAATGAATAGTCACTAAGCTCTCAGGTATAAAAATAATTTTTATTAGACTATCGTGATTATTATTCATGCAATTAATTTTCGAAGACTATTATCCATGTATCATGTTAAGGGTTAGCAATACAATCCTTGAAGACATACGCTAATCTATGTGAAAACAACTTGAATGCAGTATTCTATGAACAGGCACGGTGCAGTGGACATGCATGCCCATCGGCTTTTGTGCCAACTTGAATAGCATACCCATATGCTAGGCCTACTAGTAGTTTCGCCGATACTCTCCTATACGTACTTGGCGGAGTTCTTTTTACTTTGCTAAATTCTAAAGGACCATCTTACTAAGTAGCACTGAGGTATTAATCACACTCACTCTCTAGCATATTTTAGTTTGTTTGTTTTGCGAATCTTGATTGCAGTGGACTGTCCGTTGTGTCCAGCTGGGCAGACATTGACAACGAACATAGCGGAAAATGGATCCACGAGTGTTCTGCAGACTGTGAGCGCGGGTGCAGCAGGGGCGTGGGTGGCTATTAACAAAAAATCTGACTGTACGGATTTTACACTATCCCCGTACTGTCAATTGCTTCCAAGTTTACGGTGATCTTGTGAAATATTATGGTGTTCTTCCTGGAATGTTTTGCGTTGGTCTTCTTGTGGTTAAATGTTAAGAGGAATCTTACCATTCAAGTTGTCACGCAGTTATGATAATACAAAAGTCTTGCAGTACTCACCCGACGCGAATGCGGCTGACATGTCATCTTCCACAAGTAGCTTATTTTTATCTTGGCATAAAAGAGTGTAGGGCAAAGAGTGTAGGGGGTGATGCCGATTTCCGGAAATTTTGTAGCTCAACTCATTGAACGACAATCTGATATCAATATTATTGCCTATGTAGTAACTCGTTTGAGAATAGCGACCTCAGTGGTTGCCAGAGGCTTCTTTGCCGGGACAGTCTTCGCTCGCGAGTAGTACGCTGCATCTCCATATAAACAAGCGGAGTCATAACATGGGAGGGTGGTTGGGGTTCGTAGGTCGAGGGTATTGTGAAGTCAGTCTCTTTTCCAGTAATTCCCGAGTTGTCATAGTTAGCTGACGACCTGGCAATTGGCTGGGTCTGTGGGTCTGCTTCTTCGACTTTCGAGCTTATTAATTGCGGCTGTGATGTATTCGCTTGATAGTCAAAATTGCCGAATGGAGATTTGGATTCTTCAGCCAAGTGCGAGGTCAGGGTATGGTTTATTTTAGATTTGCCTGTTGTCGGACCATTGGCATCCTGTCCTATTTCCATTGACAAGTCGAAATCCCTTCTCGTCCGTTGAGAGCCGGACAAAGTAAACTCGTGACAGAAGGCATGGTACTCTTGGAGAAGGTATGGATCTCTGCCTTCCTGCAAGTCGTGATCCGGGAGCGTCTCGGTGACTTCTTGAATTGATGCACCTCTCTTCGCCAACACCTTCCTTTCAGCTAATTCTCCCAAGTTCAATTCCTTTGTCGTGATGGTATTGTTATTTGCTCCAATATGTCGTGTCTCGTCGTCAAGAGATAAAAGGTTCTTTTCGCTCAGCTCATTTCCTTGGGTATCACTCATCGATGCACGCGACACTTTCTTCGATGCCCATCGTTTCAATGTCGTCACTGTGCTTCGCCGACGAAGTTGACGTGTGGGTATTTCGGTTTGATCGCAGGCTGTGGAGAAAGAAGCATCACTCGTTTTCGACTCATCGTCGCGAAAAATGGGGGTTCCTGGCATTTTGAAAAAAGCTACCGAGCCCGTGATGTATGCTCAGGCTGTGATGGCAGTGCTTGAGAGAGGTGATAAGAAGGCCAACCCTAGAGGAAGATATTCGCCGTATGTAGTTGTGAAGGGTCAAATGGCCCTTCCTGGGTTGTTACTCTGGCTGATTTGATCAGAAATCGCTTCGTATCCCCCTCCTTGTCAGAGATGAGAGAGATTAACAGGTCCAGGAGAGCAAGATAAGACACAGCGGGGTATTGTATGCACGCAAGCCCGCATCACGAGGCAGCCAGCCAGCAGTAATGACCTTTCTTCCGCTTTCGAAGTATGAGACGAGACCTCGGAAATATGAGACAGGAGATGGGGGACGGATCAGGTGGTTTTAGAATGGAGAGCCAGGAAAGCCTCGAAGACGATGCCTAGGCCAAGGATAATCACAGGCACGACGAACTCCTTCATGGCATGAACCGGCATGCAATCGTATCCCCCAGATGTATCATTGCAGCAAGCCACATGCACGGGGCGACTAGCCCAGGCCATACCCACCTGGGCACTATCCCCAACCGCATTCCATAGGAGTGTAGAAAACAAGCAGCTGAACAAGTAGATAAAGTTAGATTTAGAAATGTTCTTTCTAGCATTGGTTACTCTACTCCTTGGGTCAATTCAGTCAGGACCTGATCGGTCAAACTTAACATACTTGGTGTTGGTATCTGTTCTCTGGCCTGGCCGCTCGCTAAGACACTCTCGAGAAAGGTAAGACACGGACCGCCCACCATCAGCCTCCGACGAAAGATGGCTTCATTCATTGACCAAGCTGAGACAATCGGACCAATCAACACTTGTCAAGCGCAGGCTACTGCATCCTTCCCTGTGATCTCTGGTTGTGCAGCTGCCAAGAAGCAGTTTCTTTGAGTGATCTACAACGGGGTCGGCTTGGCCGAAAACCCCGTTCACGTACTAGGGAGGTTCAGGAATTTGTTCCGATATTTGACAGGGGTTTGGACCCAAACCGTCTGGAACGCCCCGGGTATTATTTCAACATACTTATTTATATATACACAGGATATCATCTTAATATTAGGGGGGTCGGGGCTTTAGCCGGACACACCATCACGGCCCAATCCCCAGCGACCGACCTCGCGCATAGCTTCATCACCACCTTCCACAAGACGGCCATTGGCATTCGAAGGGTTCTGTTCTCCTAGAACCCCTGCGACACACTCCCAGCCTGTACGGCCACCGCCCCAACGAAGAACTTCGTTTTTGTAGCGTTCACCGGCGGCCCGATCCACGGATGTCCGGCCGGACTGGAAGACATCCTGCCAGATCTTGTTGGCAATGGCGCGGTCGAAGATGTAGCTATAATAGGTGGCGCCATAGCCGTATAGATGACCAAAGAAGCCTTGCCACGAAGTCCGAGGTCCAACATCGTCCGGGTCGGGGAGGCTGGAGTATTGAGAGAACACCTTGTGGTAGATGTCAGTGGTATCAATGCCCTTGGTTGCGTCGCTCGAAGGAATCGAGTGGTAGGCTTGGTCGACGAGAGCCATAAGGATCTGTGCCTCGTTCTCAACAGCACCGTATATAGATCCGTGGGCAGTCCGATCCAACTCCATACTACGCATCATGTTCTCAGACAGAGGCTCACCAGTCTTCCAGTGACGCGCATACAGAGAAAGGACCTCGGGGGCAGTAGCAAAGCTCTCCATCAGCACTGATGGAAGCTCAGCGAAATCAGTTGCGCATCGAGTTCCAGAGATTGACTGGAGCGGTGTCTGGCCTAGGATCGAGTGGACGGCATGGCCCATCTCGTGGAATAAAGTGCGTACACTTTGTTCACTCAAGAGCGTGGGGCAGCCCGATCCATTCGCGACCGGCTCCTGGAAGTCACAAACGAGGGCAATCGTTGGCAGCTGGCGCAAGGTCTTGGTCTGGGGATCAACTGCCGTGGCCATGCCATCATTCGGGTGCGCGTTCTCATGCAGGGAAGCACATTCTGCAACTTCATCGGCGGATATTTCACGCGAGCACCGCAGGGTAAAATGAGCTGGATTTGGTAGTTTGCTAGCTCGAGTGAAAAGATCGCAGTAGATGACTGCGATGTGTTTCTCGGACTCGTCTACGACATCCAGTCGGCGGACATCCGGATGCCAAGTCTCGCCAGGAGCCGTCTCTTGGGGAATAAGGCGAACACCATAAAGACGGTCGAAGAGTCTAGAGAGACCTTGCATGACTGTTCCTAGCGAGAAAAACTCAGGAATGGCGCTCAATTCTCGTGAGCGGCGAAACTGGGAGTATTCCATCACACGCTTGTGGACATAGTATGCGTGGTCCCACGGCTTTAGGGCACTGCCTTTCATTTTCTGCAATTGAGAGAGTTCTTCACTGACAAGACCCTGGTTGCTTGAAATGAGGGACGTCAAAAAATTCGAAACCGCTTCGGGTGTTTTGGCCATCTTATCGCTCAGGGTCATGTCAGCGAAGCTATTAAAGCCAGAGATCTGAGCGAGTTCGGCTCGTTTTTTTAAAAGTTTCTCTAAGCGATGAACTTGGCGGGAGCTAGATGTCCGCGTTGCGAGATACACCTCTTTCCGCACGTCTTCGTCTCGTACGGATCGTAGAACAAGTCTAGGGACAACTCCCATCGTAGGCACGGGTGCCTTATTATTCCACTTTTTGATTTGCTGGATCACAATAGGATCCAGCCCTTGTAGGCTGTTGGCACCAAACGTCACCTGTGATCTTGCTGGCTCCGCTCCCCCAAAGAAGTCTGAGCCAACTTGGCTAACATCGTTGGAGAGGTTCACAAATCGCTGCCTTTCAGCTGGTGGCATATGAATTGCTGAATTCGTGAAATCCCTCATGAGAATCTTGGCGACGATGGCTTCTGCCTCTGTCCAGTGCGACGTCACTTCCGGGTTGTCAAGGGCCTTGCCCAATTGCTCATGGAGACCCGTTGTGGTGTTCAGCACATTCATATATTCGAACATGAGAGCGTACGCCTGCGTCGCTGCTTCTTGGATTCGTCGATCGGGGTGAATGGTTCGAATAAAGTCGGAAAGGTCGATCACACGGCAAAGGAGGTCGCTGAGTCGGTCCAGGTTACGTGCCAGTCCTCGGTATTCATCCAAAGTCGAGGCTTCCAGAACCTTGGCTACGATAGCCTGACATTTGTGCAACGATACGTGAGCAAAAGCTCTGAAGCCATCGGGGCTCGTCAAGTATTGGTTTTGAACTAAACCCGCCGGCTTGGACGACGTTGCGTTTCGTGCGCGCGAGAAGTCTTTCCAAAATGGCTGTGAGTCGAATACGCGGCGTAAAGCGTCGTCGTCGGCGTTCTTACTCGGCGAGCTATTGTCGACTGGGACATAATCTGGTTGTAATCGAGAAACAGGGGACGCGGCGCTTGCAAAGGTTCGGGAATGGTTGCGCAGGAGACATGTGCGGCATGTCCACGCCCGGCGCCCAACAGGGCGAAGCATGATGTAGATGGTTCAAATGGAAGAAATGCAAATAATAAATCCAAATTGCCAAAATGCCACCAGAACAACAAAGGAAATCGAGGTCAAAAGTCGAGATGTTGGAGAAAGAAGGAGAGCGCGCGGGCAATGACGGAGTTTTCTGGGTTCCGCCGAGCCGAAGAATTCCCGCTTCGACTTCAACCCGACTTTGCTTCATCCTCAACCCCGTCTACCTCACCTCACCTCCCCCACATTCAGGATGTCGTTCCGCCCGATGTTGCAGCAAGTATGTAGACTGGTCTCCAGTCGTCCCCGATGATCTCGCTTGCAATTGACTGGTCAATGTCGTGCTGACACGTTCCTAGCGGGCTGTGGCTCCGATCGCAGCCACCCTCCTCGCTGGAGGCATGGCTCTATACCCCAAGCAGACAGCTTTTGCGGAAGATGCTCGCGACGTGAGATACCCCATTTATCCCATCAGTCTACTTCGAATTCGAAATGAATATATCTGACATACGATGACTTGCCCGATGCAGCGGAAACCCATCTACGACGACATCCCATCTGATATTCCTGAGCTTTCCAAGCCCGCCGCGCCTGCACCTGCACCTGCACCTGTGGAACAGGCTTCCACCAAGGATATTTCCCTATCCTTGTTGCCCTCAACTCCCTCTTCGCCTACTCCGACAGATATCCTGACCGCCCAGGTCCGACAAGCCCGTCTCTTCCTCTACAACAACTCTCTCGCCGCAGAGAACGGCTTCAACAGCTTCCTATCCCGGGCCCTTCACATCGAAAATGCGTTCACCAACACTGTTGCCTCTCTCGCTCCCTCTGCTGAGTCTGGTGAGAACCTGACCCCGGGCGGTGTCTACGTTGTTGTGGCCGCCATGGCCGGCTCCATTGTGTCACGCAACCGCGGTATTCTCCTTCGCACCATGTCCCCTCTGGCCTTCGGCACCGTCGCTGCCTGGTCTCTCCTCCCCGTGACCATGCGCAACATCTCTGATCTGGCCTGGGAATATGAGAAGAAGTTCCCCGCTCTTGCGGATCAACACTTGGCTGCTCGCGAGCGGGCGGAGCGTATCTGGTACACTAGCATTGCGCACAGCCAGATGACCCGCCAGATTATGGAAGATAAGATTGGTGAAGGCCGTAAGAAGCTGGAGCAGTTGGTTAGCAAAGGTCACTAGAGGGTTGTTTTGATTTGATACTGTCAGCCCACGCGCGGCTTGCGGGGATTTCACTTTTTGCATATGTACGTTTAGAACTCGCAGATCCGACGATATAATCCGGACCAGTTCCCTTTGTCAACAGAAATCCATCTTGAAGTCTCTTATTTCATTGCTTCTGAAATGGCTCGCCTATAGGACTCCGTAGGGAGAAGTTTATTGTATTGTACTGTATTACAATTTGTATGACTCTTGAAGATTCATAGTTCTCGGCGTCAAAACCGACAGCAGTGCATATGATTCCATTACTCTTCTTGGGACGGACCAGGCTCCCCTTCCACAGCCTCGACTGTTGGAGGGGCTGTGGCACCAGCGCTCG